GGAGTTGAGAATACCATCCTCTCAGCACATAGATGTGTTCATCAGCCTAGAGGATATCTGAACCCCACTTTGGAACTTTGATGGAGGCTTCATCATATAGACGTGATAGATAATTAACTTCAATTTAGCCTTTCTCTCCTCTCTACGTAGTTACCAGCAGTGCTGAAAATTCCAAACCCCTAATCATGGCTTGGACTGTCTGGTGATCAGTCTCTATTCAGAAGCCCACCACAGACCTTCAGGAGTCCACTTCATTGGAATAAGATTTCCTATAACACCAAGCCATTTCAAGAGATATAGGAGCTTTGTTTTGGCATCTAGGATTAAAGATCAAATAGTAGAACACAGAAAAATACAAGGAAATTAGGATCTCTTGCTAGGAAATGGCATCAGAGACTAAATATTAGAAGAAAAGGACTTCTAGACTCTTTATTTACAAGGATTTTAGGAAATCTGTATTCAGAATCATGGACAGATATATTAATTATTCACAGTAAGATTTGAAAGTGGCAGGCTTGGAACTTGATCAGATAACACTAAGAAATCCACTGGTGTTTCAAATCATAAGTACCAATGGCTTGTGCTCAATAGGTCAGTATTTGGCAGAATATCTTACCAGGTAATAGTAAGACACCAGTAATCTTTGATCAGAAATAAGAAGCTAGAATGAAGCATAGGTATTGTTTAAAAAAAAAAAAAAAAAAAAAAGAATGCTCCAGGTCTAGTGATTGGATTGGATAGTACATGTCAATGCTAGGATGTGTTGTAGAGGTGGCATTTTTCTCAGTTACTCAGGATAATCACTAAAAATGAAATTAGAGAAAACTAAATGCTAGCTAAGGTAACATCACAACACAATAGCTCTTAAAGGCCTGGTATAATTTTTAGCAATTATTTTACTTCTCTGCACACTAGCTTTTACCTAATTTTAAAATATAGGACATTATACCATATTAATATTTCTTGCATCATAGACTCCACAAATATATTTTATTTACAATAAAATATATATTAGTCATTTAGTTTAAAATTGATCGCCTTCTCATTCATCTTATCTATACTATACCTTTTGCCCTAAGACTAAGTTATTATAATTTTAGCAGCTAAAAGACTTCTAAACTACTGACTGTGAACCCAGGACAATTCAGAGATGTTTACATTTATTATCAAACTCATTCTTCAAAGCAACCTTATGTGGCATAATATTCATTATTTCACCTACATCAATGCTGAGTTTACCCGAATCTGTGTATTTAGTAATGAACTGGACTACACTGTTTGATCCTAACAATTTTGCTACATGAAAGTGTCAAAGGACAGTCATTCTTCCATAGGATTTGGAAGATTATTTTATAAAGTATTTGTACCATTATTCTATTTGGTCTGCCAAGTCTGACGACGCAGGTTCCACTCTGTCTTCTTCAGCACTGAGTACTGTCTTTTGTTGTTTTACTTAAAATGCATAAAGCTTTGTCTTTAACCAGTAAGTTGACAATATTTTCTATCAAGTACTTTTGTTATGAAACCAGTCTTTCTGCTTTTCCTCTCATCTATTTAAATCTCCGTGTTTTTCTTATCTCTTTGTATGATCCCTTGCTTATTAATTTAAGACATCATTTAGCCAACCTTTAATCTTGCTTTTCTGATCAAGTCTCTTTAAGAATTTCTTCCCGAGGTATAATCACCTTGTTTCAGTTGGAGGGAGGTTATCTTACTTACATTGACACACTTCATACATATATTGATCATCTCTGTGAAACTCCTGGCTAAAATAATTTTGTTTGAATCTTCTTTGTGTCTGGAAAGCTTCTGTTATCATATTTTAATCTTCTAAAGGACAAATCCAATATCTTGTTAAAACAAGGGCTAACCATTTTTGATATTAAGCCTGGAAAGGCTAACCTATTTTAAATTCATATAGTAATGATTTCATTATAGCTACATGCATTTACTGACAGACTTCCAGGTGTTAAAAACTGATAGAAATGCAGGTGTAACGAGTGTTGAAATATAGCTCACACAAACTAGATGGCTGCTATTTCTAGCACATTTCTGTTTCTATTTCCAAATTATCCACTGAGGTTTGGGAGCATTTTCAACCTATATTTCTTCAAACATTTTATTGATTAAAGTAAGGAACATGTTCCGTATACCACCTGGTGTCAAAATGTCACTGGGAAAGTATGAGAGTCTACTTAAAAGAGTTGAAAGACTTACTTGGGAGATAACTGCTCCCTTTCATATAATCATAGAAAGGAAATTCAGCTTTAATTTCTTGATAATATGTGAATAATATATACTTTTCTCCAATCACTGAACCATTAGAAAATGTATTTTGTAGAAATTATTTTTAAGTACATTGGCCATTCTGTGTTTATAAGAAATTTTCTAAATGTAATTAGTTATTTAGTTATAAATGCAAATAATATGGTACTTTAATATAGATCATGGACAGAGTAAATTTCTCTAAGATGATGAGAATCTATATATTTTGATTACATTACTAAGAATAATAACTATCACTTTTATCCACAAATATAGGATATGACAAACACTAATTTAATATAGGTTTATTAGGGAAAAGAGAGGCACCCGCATAGCTGCAGGTGAGTGATCTTGGGAAGAGAACTGCTTTCGTTTGTATTTTACAGCTGTCAAGTGAAACACAAAAACTTTCTAAGTCACCCAGGGGAATTGACTTATGCCATCTTAGAACAGATCAAAGAGGAAGTATCAGTTCAAATTCTAAAAGCAATGAATTAAAAAAAAAGAAATATAAGTATTTCATTTTACGTGATTTCATATTTTAATTAAATTTAATTTAAATATTTCTGAATCATATACTGTGTTGATTCAGGGCTACCTTAATAAAATTATGAATAAAATGTAAAATTAATTTGAGATAATTTGTACTATTAATAACAATTACGATATAATACAATGTTTAATAACAGTTACTACTAGTAACAGTTACGATGTAATACTAACAGTGATAATGATTTTTTTCTGTGTATTCATTTTGCATAAACTACTAAGAATAAAATAAATCAAGGAATCATCCTCATCCCAAGAAACCAGCAATGTAAGAGAAAAGAAAGCAAACTTTTTAAAGGGGTTATATGATAAATATAGGCTTTGCAGAACACACACTCACTCACAATTACTCAACTCTGCTATAATCTCATTAAAGAAGCTATAAAAAAAAAAAAGCAAATGAGGACAATAGCTGTGTTATAACAACCCTGTGACAAAATAAGTGTTAGACTCGATTTAGTCCATGGGCTGTAGTTCCATGCCCTGCCCCTACTCCAATCAGTTGAGTGATGATGCTAACAGAAATACAGGAAAACTAATTTATGTAAGAATTCAGTAAGGCCCTCCCTGGTGGTGCAAAGGGTTTAGATGCAGCACTGCAAGCTAGGCACAGCCACTTCAGCGCAAGTGTGAATTCTATCCCCGGCCAGGTGATACACCTGGCTCAGCAGACCTCTCCTGTCTCACCTGCTGCTCCCCTCAGCAGTGTATTTTGTCAGTCGGCCTGTTCTGCTCCCCACTCTGTCTCCGGTGAATCCTCTCACCACCCCTCCACCTCTGGCCTGTACCCCAGTTCTGTATTCATAGATAAATAAATATTTTTTTTTAAAGAATTCAGTAACTGTTTAAGACATTAAAACATAAATGTAATTTAAAAAATATTTAAGTATATACAGCTGTTTTACCTCCTCTTTAAATATTTGTACTACAGTTCTGTCTTTCATTATCTCTTCATTGAAAATAATTATTTGGCATATTATTTGAAGTATATTACAATGAATATTCATACTGAAAATGAATATCATAGTAACCTATTTTATTTTACTAGTATCCTATTTTAGTGACAGATTATTCAGCCACTGTAGTGCTAAAAATTTTAGCATCATCAGTTTCCAAAGAAAATATATGGAGCGTTGCCTAGCTTTCCTTTGAAAAAGATCCATTGGAAATTTAATTTGGAAATACTTGTCTGCCTTTATTAGCATTTCAAAATTTGGTAGATGTGAATATATTAATTACTTCTCCTTGTTTGAATTAAATAAGGTAGATGCATTTCAAGTAATTAAACAAATTTTGGACAAAAGCCCTGGCCTGCTGGTGTATGATGTCATTATCGAGCTCACTCCATAGTGTCTTGAAATAATATAATTGTTATTCATTTAAAAAATGGAATATGTATGAAGTACAAGATAATCTCTGTTATAGTCTACCATTAGTTTATGTGGTTTCTATCACTTTAAGATATAATCTACTTAGTATTTTCTGGATTTTTTTCTAAGAATCTTCAGGTTGCAATATCCAGAAAAATGCATGTATTACATATATATATATTTATAATGTGATTTTTTTCATGTAACAATAACTTTGCAAGTATATATTTAGAAATGCATTTTAAAAATATGAATGTGCTAATTTAAACTGTAGTCTTCCTTAAGTGATGTCTTAAGTGAAGAAGTCATGTTATATAAGCATAATATGTTTAATATTCTATGATAAATAATGCCACTGACATAAGAATCTGTGAAGCAAATGAACAAGCCATTATTTTCCTCCTAAATTTGTAGGTTCGATGCAAAACACAGTTAAAGACCTGTTGAGAGTGTCTTCCGAATATAAATATTGCAAGACTTTTTGAGAAATATATATATATATATTTAAATGGGCTTACATCTTTATTTGTATATCATGATTAACTGCATAACCAAATGCATTAGCTCATTATATTTCCTACTGAATAAGCATTTTAAATAGAATAAAACATAGCTTTTTAATGTAGCTCTTTATATCTTACATCCATAAAAAAATGCTTCTTTATTTTAAAGCATTGTGGAAAAACATTGATTGTATGCATTTAGGGATTTTTTGATTTTGAAAAGCAAAGCAGACACCTGCTTTCATAGTTTCTTATACTATATTGAGGGAGTAGGATCTCTACCTTATCTTGGGCTCTCTTGTTTGCTTTTCAGTTGCTGCGAATGTGGCTGTGGGAGGGCTTCTTCCCTGTGCGCTGTTGCCCATTCAAGCCTAATATGGTTAGTGTTTCCCTCCCACGTTCACTCTTCTGTGATGTCCCGCCTATCTGTATTCCGTCAGCATTCCTTTTTTTTTTGTTTCCATTTGTGAACATTTTACCAGTTAGTTTACTGGTTATGCCTTAACAGAAGAGTAGGATGAAATCGATTCCCTAAGGGGAATCATAAATGATACTGTAATGACTTCCAATAAAATATCCGTATAGCACATCAATCCTCTGTTAAGCATTCATACCTTTCTTCCAAGGCTTTAACTGTGGTCCTTATTTAAATCAGAAAGTTGTAAGATTGAAGCATCTGTTTACGTTGAACATGTCCCTGTTTTTGTTATTCCATTAAGATTAAACCATGTCATATATGGAAGTAGAATGCTACTAATGTCGAGGTGAAGTCACCTTCTCTGTCAGAACCAAATAATGACCATAACATAACTGAAATATTCTATTTCCATAATTATTGTGGGTACAGGTGGCTTTGGAGAACAGAACCACGTGTAATTGCAACGGTTACTTCATATTTTTTAACTTGAGTTATTCCACATGTTAATAATGGTATACCTAATTTGATAACAGTGAAGTGAAAAAGGTGCACTATTTTGGGATCAGAGATGAAATGGGGTATTTATAAATACTGAATTATTTATAAATATAACCCTAAATATTTGTGTATATATGCATACATATATACACATATGCATATGTGTATGTACCTATAAAAATGTAGGTTACAACAAAACAACAGAAAACTGTATTCAAAAATTTGGAGGGATTCTGATACAATAGTGAACAACCTTGTAAAAAGTTAAGTACTCAAGATAATTTCTTCTTATATCAAAGAGCCTAAATCATTGACTTATTTGTAGTCAAATTTTACCAAGAAAAGATATTCTTAAATGGACGTTAGAGAATTATGAAGTATCCTTGGACATTTTAAATTGCTGTTTATATTCTCAAGGTGTACATAAATACTTGTTAATTCAAAAATATAGTGTGAATGCGTGTACATGCCTGTGTAGACTCAAAAGATGGTTGAGTGGTTATCCATAATCTTCTAAGAACAAGAGCACAAACAAAGATTAACATACTTCAGAGATATTTTCCTCAATCCTTTAAAATTTTGTATTTGAAAAAAGTTTGAAAGCTAATGTATAGGGTCCTCCTTGGTGGTGCAGGAGGTTAAAGTCTTGGCACTATAAAGCTATCAGCAGCAAACTGTGGCCTGAGTGTGATCTTGGCCAGGGATCTACCCATATGGTGCAGCAGACCTCTCCTGTATCACTCCCTACTCCCCTCAGCAGTGTATTTCAGTAGGTTTGCCTGTTCTGCTCCCCACTCTGTCAATGGTAAATCCTTTCACGCTCTCTCCTCACCCCCGCCCACACACACCTCTGGCCTACAGCCCAACTGTTATATACATACATTAAAAAAACCTTTAAAAAAGTAATAAATAGGGCCCTCCCTAGTGGTGCAGTGGGTTAAAGCACAGCACTAAGAATCTAAAGTCACTTCAGCATGAGTTGGATCCCTGGCCCAAGAGGTGACCACATAGCACTGCAGATCTGTTTTGACCCGCCCACTGCTCCCCTCACGTGTACTTTGTCAGTCAGCCTGTTCTGCTCCCCACTCTGTCTCTGCTGAAGTCTCTCACTGCCCCTGCACCTCTGGCTTCTACCCCAGTTCTCTATGCATAAATAAATGAATCTTTTAGAAAAAGGTAATAAATACAGATTTCTTCCAAATTATCTATATTACTGAAAAATTTCTTACATGAGCTGGGGCTTCATTCACAACCAAATGAAAATGGAAACTGGCAGTTACTAATGTATAAAATAAACAGATTTATACCTGATTTTTTTTTTTTACTACTGTGAAAAACTGAAAAATTATCATTGAACTGACCATTTGACTTGGATCTTGAATGTAGTTATTTTAAGAAATAAATCTCAGTAGTAGCAAGAGTTTACATTTGGAATAAAAAATACTGACATGCAAGCCTAACTTAAACTATATCTTAAAAATCACTCATTGCCATGGCATAGAAAGAATACTGGCAAAATGTAGCTTTGGCCAGATTTAAAATATTTGTTTTTTTTAAATAAGTAGTATTATTTTCTTCTGTGTGGGCACTTTTCATGTTTATGTATTATATTTTATGGGCAAAACTAATCACACCTACATTCCTGAGTGGTATTTCAAAAAGGGGAAAGAAATGAAATGTAAAGATTTCAAAATGTCTAAGCCTCTGCTCTATAATTACAAATGTGTCTATTCACAAATAATGATTGAACAGTTTTTGAAATTTATTTATGCGTAATTAACAAATGTTGGTATGATCATACACACAAAGTTAGGTGGCAAGACTTCAGACCAAGATCACTGAGAAATATCGTTCTGAATTTTGTCGCTTTATTTTGTGTAGTTGATTTTAAGAATTTGCTAAAAATAAGAAAAATGGAAATAAGAAAAAGTGTGGAGGCAGAATACTTCCTTCAAAGAGTGCCAGGAAAGCTGAGTTATCAAAAAATTTCCTAACATCTTTCTTCAAATGGTAATTGTGGGGCAATGAATGTGTTTGTGTGTAGTTGCACATTTATGTTTGTGTGTGTGTGCAAATGATAAGCCACAAATATGCCTAGATACTGAGAAAAAAACATCAAGTTGTCATGGAAAGATTTATGAAGGAGTTTTTTTTTAATATAATATTAGTTAAAATATAAATTAAAACAAAAGAAACAAGTTTAATTTAGTTTATGTAAAGTTGAACAAGAAATGTGTCCAGGATTATTACTGGGCAAGAATGGGAACTAAAAATATTTTTATTACTATGCCTTATGAATCTACATTTTATAATTTCAAGTGTTTATGTGATTTCACTTAAAGACTATATTTTTTAGGTTAAGGTGTATAATATTAAAAAGGATAAGGGAAATAAAAGGATAAGTTAAATAATTTTAAACATGTGCTAAAATTGCCTAGTGTAAACACACTGGTTTTTATAGACACCTTACATACCTTGTGAAAATCTAGAAGTCAAAAGCATAATTTCAATACTATTACTGGAGATTATTCTGAAGTTCAACATACCTATACATATAATACTAATATTTTCAATATTCTTCTTGGTTTGACTGTAGTTTACTCAGTCAAACCAAATATTACCCAGTGATAAAAGATTCACTGTATTACCCAGTGATAAAAAATATATTTGTAATGTGTCTGCATAAAATCCAGATGCTGAAGTTTTAATTACCCTATCCCTGTGACTGCTACATTTACAGCAGAAATGTTTTATCAATGATCTTTAACTTCATGCCATTGCAGCTGGCATAACACACTAATCATTGTCTCATTGCACAAGAGTATATTTTTATGACTATTTAGTGTTGAATTAATCATTTTGAGATATTAATGAGTATAGTTTCTAAAGTGGTATCTTTATTTATCCCTTAATAATCATTTGTGTTATACTTAAAAAAGATATATTTATGGTTTAATTTTTATTACAATTTCATATGAAAGGTACCTTTGTCCCAAGATAGCTTGTGCTTGGGCTTGTATTTCTTAAATTCTAACTGGTGTTAGGCTTTTTCCTTTATTCATTAGTTTTCATTTTTTTAATGTTTTCATGTCATTATTTCTTATATGGTGTTCAAGTGGCATTATTATTTCATTATTATGAAAATAGAGGTGTGTAATTCATATTCTCTTCATTTATCTGTGATTTTTATAAAATCAACCTCTTAGAAACTTGTTTCATTCAGTTTGAAATATTTTCTTATCAGAGTTTTAAAGGATAAATTCTGGCTTCTCTCCTAACACAGATATTAACACACAAATAAAACAAATTTCTCTAACCAAAATGATCATGAAACTTTATTCAAATATTAACTGTTATCTTAATTTTTCAATTTACTGTTATTCTCTCTCTCTATATATTGCAAGTATTGAAAATTGAAGCATTTTCTTTTTTATTTTCAAATACATTTAATGGAGAGTATTTCACTCTTCTTCACAAGATTTCTGCCAGGGAGCTATGTAGAATACTATTCCCTTTTATACATTTTTGGAAATAGCTTATAGAATAAATTCATGGCCTGTAAAATCTTAGACCTTCATTTAATAAATCCTTGTACTATGCAGATGTGAAGCTTGTCTGTAATATATAAAATGTAATAAATTCCAATTGAAGACTTGCTAAGTAAAATATAACTCTGAATAACTTTAAAATTCCCATTTATAATATCCATGGAAATTCAGAGTCTATCAGATTTTTAGGTGGACCTCTTCTTTTTGAGAAATCCAATGGTCACATCCAAAATGCAGTTTAAAAATTAATAGAAAATGACCTATGCTAGAACTTAACAAAATGTGTTGAAAAGGTAACTTACTCCTTACATGTCCTACCTTATGACAATTATTATACCAAAACTCTTAAGTCAATAACATTTACTTCAACACTGAATATTCTATAATTTATCAAATGTGAAGCATTTGAAATTGTTCCGGTTTTCCTATTATTGTTAAATCTAAAGGTACTGAAGCATTCATTATTGGAATATTTACTAATTCATATGTGTATAACATTTTGCAAGGTGTTATACAAGCAGGTAATTTTTATAGAAAATGAAAATAAAAATGCACATAAAATATAAAATAAGAAATGTAAGCTCATCACAGAGTGGTTAGTAACATTTATAGATACTAAGATAACCTACCAGCTGTGCTAACATTTTATTTAGTATAATTATCACTGTATTCCAGCTTTCAAGGGAAGTGTGTTCAGCATGAGTACATTTTCCTTGAGAATTTTCACAAATTAAGGAAGCATGAATTGCATTACTTGTGTGACCAAAATTTCTCTATAAGTAACTGAATATCCAGCATCCTCCTGTAAAAACGAGGAATGCATGACTGTGTTCTAAGATCCTGCTAACATGACAGCTCAAATGCCCAATATCCCATTTTTATTCACATTTACTCACACTCTATCGAAGCATGATGTTTCAAAAATAAAAGAATCTTTGATAAGTTTTATTTGATAAATTAATAAATTAATATTCATATGCTTCTTTACTTTATGAAGTTAAGTCAACTAAACTTAATACTACTATCTTTTTCTCAACTGAAGATAACCCTTAAGTGAAAAAGTAAAACATTTCCCCAGAAATGGTGTTTTCATTCTTTTCAAGATTTCAACAGCTGACATAAAAATACAACACTTATGCAATGATTGAGATAATTATTGTCAGAACATAACACTGTGCACATATGGAGAAATACTTGGCTTATACTGCTTTGAAGGGGGAGTAAAAATAACTTACTTTCCATACTGAAGTATACACACAATAGAATACACACACTCACATATCTTCTATTTTTTTGCTGTAATTTGTCACCTTTTTAGTATTTTTACTTAAAATATAGGCAAATATTTCTTAATCAATCTGAAAAATAGAGGAGCGATGCAAAAGTGTCCATTGCTGAACAGAAGACTTCTCTTAAAGAAGCCAAGTGTAAAGCCACTTCTCCCACCATTGCACCCTTTTAACTTAGAATTAGGCTAATAAAAGTGCTCAGTATTTAAGTCTATAAGCAAAATAAGTGGAAAAAACTGACCATTTTATAAGCTGTTGTTGAACAAGGATCTATACTCTCCCTTGGCTAGCCGTTTCATTCATCTTTCTGACCAATCAGGGTGTCCTTCAGTAAGTTACTTCTTCTATGCATTGCCTGGTACTGTGAAATGTTTGCCATTCTTACTAAATTTACAACCACAAACTAAATTATTCATTGGTACATCCTCCCATACAGAAAAAAATACTATTTACTATTTCAAGAATTATGGAAATGTCAAGTATGCAAATTTAAATGTTACTCATTTTTTCATTAGTTTTAATATCATCAAGTATGTGTTATCCAAATTCTTAGAATAAGTATGGAGGGCAATGTATTGATTTTTAAATTTCATTAATGTCATTGTAACATTTATATGTTAAGCACTCTCTAGGATTTTTAAATAGATATTAGTGAATATAAATAATGTCTACATGTAGTCTAATTCTCATGATCACTACTACTACTTAAGAAGAAAATAGTTTTGTCTAGAAGAAAAAGAGTATAAATGACTAAGAAATGATTCCTCTATTAAAAGCAATTCCTCTGTTAGCAAAACTTATTAAAATTGTGATTTGAGGACCACTCTGGTGATGCACGGGTTAAAATCTCAGCACTACGAAGCCATCCACCACCAATGTGACATGAGTTCCATCCCCACCCAGGGAGCCGACCTACTTGGCGCAGCAGACTTCTGTCTCAGCCGCTGTTCCCATCAGCAGTGTATTTCAGTCAATCTGCCTTTTCTGTCCCCGCTCTATCTCTAGTGAATCCTCTAACCCTGCACACCTCTAGTCTACACCCCAGTTCTTCTATGCATAAATAAAATTTAAAAAAAATTGTGATTTGAAGCAAGAAGAAACTGTTTCTTTCCTACTCGGGAAAAAATATTCAGTTGCAGAAAGTAGGAGACATAAATTTTGTACATAAAAACATATTTATTAACTATCTGATGAGTTAAAATTGTGTACCTGGAGCAAGAGCAGAAGATGATACTGAAAGAACAGGCTACCTGTAATGTATTATTAGCAAGGTTGAACAACTGTTTGAATGCCAGTTTCTGCCAGCTGCACTTTTACTTGTGTAACTTGCTGAGGTTTGTTTTATGGTGCTTTTAAAGGGTTCCAGAACTTAATTTTATATGTTAATGTGACATGCAGCTGTATATGTTATAGAACTCCTGAGATGCCCAGAGTCAAAAATAACTCCTTTCTACTGCCCTCCTGGCTCACCGTAGGTATTATATGTTAACCACGCCTCAAAAGTTATTCCCTAATCATTTTTTAGATGAGATCTAAAGTTCTACTTCCATTTGTCATCTAAGGAATATGCATGCAATTTAAATGTACATGAGGTGTATTTAATAAGACCTATTTGAGATTCAAGTTTGAGAACTAAAAGGTGGAATGGGTGTTTGTTTTTAATGTAAACTATAAAACTTGTATACTCAGTAAGCTTCTTTGGAATTCCTCCAGCAAATTCCTCCAGTGTTATTTTATTGAATAACAAAATCTCATGATGATTTCACATAATTCTATTTAGAATATTGGTTTAAAAAATGTGTCATTAACCTTACTCTAAAGGTATACACATTAAAGTCTGAAAGAATAATATGTATCTAGAAAAATTATGAACATTGGATTAAAATAATTTGTCAGCTTGAATAGACGAAATATAATTTTGCTATAATTTTATATCTTTTACTCCACTTAACTATGGTTAGATGATTCAAAATGTCTTTAAGGCTCTTGAATGTATGCAAGGATTATGAATAAAAAATAAAAAATCACCAGATAAACATTGTGTATTTTCCTTACACAATAACACTGCTTGTATTAAAAAGATTACTCCAGGTTTACTAGAACTTGAAGCTATTGTCAGTTCTTTAGCATGCTAAAAAGAATATATTGTATTTTTATAAAAATTGGCACAAAGAAAGTTATATTACTAATTTTTAACATATATGCATTACACTCTAGGAAATGATACTAAAATGGGTTTGATTTTATATCAATATACAAAATTTAAGAATATATCATCAAGGAACTGTTGCTATTAGTACATGTCTGATGAATACTTAATTTATATCAATTAATAGTTTTCAACCACCTCTACAAAATATTTTGCCAGTCTGCCATTTGGGCTTCATATCTTTATGGTGAAATAAATGAAAACTTTGTCTTCATTTAACTCAATTTTGCTATAAGATCTTATGAATAGTAAAATCTCTTCCTTAGATATTCACTAAAAATAATTTGAATATTTTCACTTTAGTTGGTTGTTTTAATGTCATGTACTGCATTAATTCAATATTCATCAACATATTCCCTCTCCAGATACTGTCATTTTGGAGATAAAATTAGAAATCATTCACTCATTCTCTCATTCATTCATCAGTGTGACAAATATTTTTAGCATGAATTCTGAATCAGTTTTTAGGACACTGAAGAAATATAGATCAGTGCTAAGTTTTGCCATTCAAGAATCAAGTACATAGTGAGTAAAAAATTATTCTCAAGTGACTATGTTGCATTTTAGAATAGTACAGAAAGTTTTGGTTCACAGGGGAAGAGACTGCATGTAGGTGGGGTGTGAGAACAGAAAATGAATGTGAAAACAGAACTGAACTTGATCACTGGATACTGATAGAAAAAATTACAAGGCAGAGGAAGCAATATATACAAATGTTGGAAACATGAAGAAATATCTTGGCGATAGAAGAATAAAGTTAATATATTCGAGTATACAAGAAGTTAATGTGCTACACATTAAGAATCAATGTTATTAACAGAAAAAAGAAACTGGCAAATCAAGATTAAAAAGAGAAAAATATGCTGATTTGTTTTTTATATCTACTGATTTTGAATGCCAATAGACTATTATAATAAAATAATCCTATCAGAAATACAAGTATAACTCACAAAAGAATTAAACCGGAGGAACAAAGTTATTAACTAAATAGTGGAAATGCATGAAATGAGAGCAGAGAACCAGAGAACCTCTGGCAATATTCTTACAAAAGAAGAGAGGAACAAAAAACATCAACGGGAAGTGGTTAGGGATTTCATTTTTTAGTTTTAGGTCTGAGTATGTCATTAGTGAATCTTGGAAAGACAGATTTTTCTAAATAATAAAAACAGGATACAAAAAAATTAAAAACAGGGACTTGCAAATTAATATGTAGTGGAGAACAACAAGAAAGACTAGGATTTGTGGTATGGAACTGAGGTAGTTGGAAGTTGTGGTGAATTTGATAGTGTTGGAAGTAGAGAATCCAATTCAAATACTAAAGACACACACACACAAAAGAGAGAGAGAGAAAGATGCTAAAAGGAAGAAATTATTAGAAATACATATTGCTCAGTATATCATGAAAGGAAGTCTCCAAAGTGGTTTATAAAAAAAAAAAAAAAAGCAAAAGAGAAAGGGAACAGAAACATATCTGGTAATCTGGTATATATTGATTGAAATGAATTTATACTGAAGGTAAGAGACCTGTTGGGGAAATATGATTTATCCATAAAGAGCATTGGTGCTATTTCATTCTACTAGTATGAAATGGTTGTCATCATTTCAATTAGATTTCTTGCTTGTGGGCTTGATAATGATTCACTAACTTGAGATGTAGTTAATTGTAGCTTACTCTGTTCCAGGCGGTGTGGTTACAGCAAAGCAAAACAAGATCCTGAAGAGGAAAAGATGCATTTTCATAATGGGCACAGTAAGCAAATTATAAAAAATCAAAACAAAAAAATAGAGGTGATTTTATTATTATTTTAGTTTCTTTGCAAAATAAGAGACTTATAATAATGAACCCAAAACACTGTGTTGAAATGTTAATTGTTCTTTTACAGTTCTATAAAGCATATGACTTAGTGCATTATTAGCTGGTTTTAAGTAACATCTGGATGTTTACTGAATTCTTTAAATCATGCTTTATTATAGTTATGAAAAGAAAAATTTTACTAAAATCTATCACTTGATATGCCAAATTTCCAGACCAATTTTAATTATTATAAGTAGTCACTAGAAATCTATCATTAAATAACAGCACCCAATTGAATCAGTATAATTCTCAGTGTTTTTTATCTTTGAATATTTTAAGATTTTTATCTTCTAAGGTTTTCCCTGAACAGACTCTACAGAAACAACCTCAGTTCAAATGACTTTAAAAAATACACTTTGAAGAAATGAAAAATATAGAGTTTTAATAATGAACTTTAAAACTGAGCCTAGGGCCCTCCCTGGTGGCGCAGTGGGTTAAAACACAGCACCAAGAAGCTAAAGCCACTTCAGCATGAGTTCGATCCCCACCCCAGAGGTGACCACATGGCGTGGTAGACCTCTCCTGACCCGCCCGCTGCTGCCCTCAGCAGTTTACTTCGTCAGTTGGCCTGCTCTGCTTCCCACTCTGTCTCTGGTGAATCCTCTCGTCGCCCCTGAGCCTCTGGCCTGTACCCCAGTTCTGTATGCATAAATAAATCAATCTTATTTTTTAAAAAAAGTGAGCCTAAATGGGTTCTAATGGTGATATTTTAAATAGTACAGTGTGAGATTATTTGCTAAGTAATAACAAGAAGAGGGTTTATTCTGCCAAGATCATAAAAGTAAAAATCATTAAGCCATAATTCAGACTGCAGAACATGAGTCCATATTTATAGTCCTATCTTGTTTAATGTTATTTATCCTCAAAAAGATTGTGAGAAGTGATATTGGTTGTCTGAAGATATGATGAAGTTGAAGTTCATAGAACATTGTAAACTTGTGCAAGGCCAAGTAGTAACAGAAGTAGATGGGGAAAGTAGAACTTATACTTTTTTTTTTTTATTTCTATGTCAGTTTTTTTGGGCCAAATAAGGAAAGTTCTTTTTAAATATTTTCTGTAAAAACAAAGTTAATCATCTGTGACAATATTTTACATGATATACAAGATAACAAACCAACAAATAAACCACTAACATTTCATCATCTAGTGCAATAAACAAACATGTTTTATTCTGCCTCAGAGATTGTGAATATTTTTGTTGGAAAATGTATTTACTCAAAAATGTTGACACACATATATTACTTGTACAGGCCAACATTTCAGCTTTCTGAAATTCTAAGAGTTGAGATAGTTGTACAAATAAATCCTATAATTTGAAAATATCTGTTCTCAGTTCAGCCATTCCTAGGAAACATGGATTTTAGACATAGATACATGTTAATATAAGTTTATAATTTCCCTCAGCCTTCGCAAATACTTCTACATTTATAACCATTTATTTTTACAGTTAAACTGCCAGGTGTAAGAACCTACATTGATCCACATACTTATGAAGATCCCAATCAAGCTGTCCATGAATTTGCCAAAGAAATAGAAGCATCATGCATCACAATTGAAAGAGTTATTGGAGCAGGTACAACAGTGTGTTGAACTTGTACTTTTAACCTATGTTTAAATTATAGAAAGTATATGTCCAGTGTCTTGATCTAACACATGTTTTTAATCTTTTGTAACTGACTTGCTTTCAAAGTGCTATATATTGGTCATAATTTAATGCTATGTTCTGTGTAGCTGATACTTAAACCAATTAATATCTCATTATGATATAAAAATAGCTATGAAATAAAAAATATACATAAGCATAGCATTATACCATCTGTAGTTTAATATATACCACATATATTCCATGTATTTATACATATATTTAATTTTAATGCTCAAAAGCACCTACATAATTTAAGTACCAATTATTCTACTATGAATCATTGCTTCCTTACTTTTTTTTCCCTTTGTGTCATGGAATAACTCCTTTACTCCTTACTCCTTTACTGCTCTTTTAATGCCATTCTTAAAGAAGAAAGAGAAATAAGGAAGTGACTTTGAGTCAGTTGCTTTTAATTTCTTTTTGTCATTTCCCACTAAAGCCGTACAGGTCAACTGGCTAAAGCTAATGGCCCTTAAAGCATTTTATGGTCACCTGTGGATAATTTTCCCCAATGCACCACTTAATTCAATGAACATAACAAAGTTTGGGCTCCTCTTTTAACCACTTTTTTTTTTAAACTTAATATGTTAAGAGTGCTTTAAAGGATTATTAAAGTAAGGGCTTCTGAGCAAATTGTGTGTGTGTGTTTTACTGTCTTTATCACAAGGTGAATTTGGTGAAGTTTGTAGTGGACGTTTGAAACTTCCAGGAAAAAGAGAATTACCTGTGGCGATCAAAACCCTCAAAGTAGGCTACACTGAAAAGCAACGTAGAGATTTCCTGGGGGAAGCAAGCATCATGGGGCAGTTTGATCATCCCAACATCATCCACTTAGAAGGTGTTGTGACTAAAAGTAAGTATAACAGCAAATCTGTGCATGTTTGTTGTGTGTATGGGGAGATTAATAGCTAGGTTTCTTCTAGTAACTTACTAATTTCAGAGGGGAAAAAAACTAGAATAATGTCATTAATACAGTTGCAGTAAAAGCTGCCCTTTATGGTAATAGGTTGTCAAAACTGATCTTCCATGAATTTGTTTCTATTTACTTTTCTAAGATACAGATATTAATGGGTCTACTAGGAATTAAATGACAGAGGAAGTATATTCAGATAAAGGACGCTTTAAAAGTATCAGTATTTCTTTCTATTGGCTCTTTCACTTTTTATCTTAATGAAAGATTAACTTCAAAGTTTTCATTGAGACATTGAAGTTTAACTTTTAATAGGATTATTATATCCATAGGTGCCCAGCCACTTTTTAAGCAGTTCTTTAATAGCCAGGTATTTTACTTTTAGTCATTTTTATACATTGAGATTTTTAATAGTTCTAGGGAAAGCAAAAGTTTTAAGATTGGAAAAGGTCTCTGAAGACTAATTATTTTGCTACAGTAAATCCAGCTTTTATTCATTGGTATCAAGAATTTCATACATTTCTTTTAAATTTTCATGAGTTTTGTAATGTGGTTATATGGTTAAATGGTAAACTTCCCAGTATAAGGGTATTTGAACAATTCATTTTTCATATTCAATAAAGTACTTATGTAGTAATAAATGAGATGTTTATTTCATTTTGTTTCTTTGCTATTCCCATGTTTATTCATTCCCTTATTTTAACCCTCACAGAACTTTTTAAGATTATCTAAAAACTATAGCAAGAAAACATTCTTAAACTTTCTTTCAAGCATTTGTTTAACTTCTAATACTATTAATCAACTAATTAAACTGATGTAAACAGACATAGTGAAAATGTAAATTCAATATTTGTCCACACCTTATTAAACCCTGTACATGTTTAGAAAAGGGACAGAGGAATGTTTTTATCAGGGAAGACAGTATTTCAAAGTGACCAAAAGCATGGCCTACATATCTTGTCACTAGTTTTAATTTTGATTCACACAAAAGCTACTATACAACTTTGCACAACTTAAACATTCAGAGTCTTAGTTTCATTATCAGTGACATGAGGGTAAAAGCAACTCAGATTGATGTGGTGAAGATGGTATGACTTAAGGGGAAGTTAAAGCACAATGACTACGTTTCTAGTTCTCTCTTTTCCAATGCTCTGGACACTCCCATATACTTGATATTTTACCATTCATCATTGTCTCTGCCTCATTCACTGCCTTCTCAATCCTTGAAAATCCTGATTCAATTTCCATCATCTCTAGAAACAATCCTTCATCACTTCACCTTAAATAATCTTTCCTTTGAAACTGCACCAATGTAAGGATTCTTGCAATCAATGTAATGTTAGTTCATTTGTCCAAAAATCCTTTTTAATTCCTCTCTTCTACATATATTGTTAGTGCCCTAGTTAGGAGGGGGGGAAGTCTGCTTTTTTTAAAACACAAATCATGTTCCCAATATTTATATGAATCTATCACCCTTAAAGATAAGCTAACTTGTGGCCACCATAAATCTGAGCTTCATGATCACCCAAAAGTGAGAAATCATGTCTACCCTTTTAGATTGCTATACAAATTAGATGTGTGTGTGTGTGTGTGTGTGCAAATGCATGAAACTACAGTGATAGGTATTTTTATCTTTTCAAGTGAATTCATGTGATACTAATGGATAACATCCCCAAATTATAAGAATATATATATAATATTATAAATGTATATATATATATAGTCTCTTCATTTTATATATATATATAAAAGTAAATACACACACACTCATATGTATATATATATATACATTATCTTAATTTTTAAAGAACATGTTTTATAGGGAAGTGCCATGAATGAAACAAACTAAAATAATTAAACTAATAATACTAAGTCAATTAAATTAATCAAATGGTGTATATGCACTAGATCTTTAATTTTAAAACTGTCATCAACAAATGATTGGTTATATCTAACTTTTGTTACTCTAATCCAAAAATAGTACTGTAATAGGGAATACAGTTTTTAAGTTGCTAATTTAACTATCCATTCTATTTTGATGTAGCTGTTGTAAGGCTACACATATAAGTAAAATAAAATGTCAATATTTAAGATATGTTTGTCTTATTTTCTGTTCTATGTGAATTGAAACTATATTTCACCTTAATAAATATAGCTCTTGTTGTTCAACTTAGGAAGTCTTCAACTTGTTTTTAATTTATCATGTTGCGGCTCACTTTATTTGTGTCCTTAATTTCATGCTCTCTGATCTGATGTTAATTTATTCAGCAATTATTTTCAACCTGCAGCACACAGATAATGAGACATAAGTGCAACTAAATCTTGTGATTTTTCTGATTGAGGCTGAAACAGGGATTCTGAAGTAGCATTTTTATGGCTGTGCCATCACATACCTTCTTATTTCCTGTGTCACTGCCCTACTTGCCAGACACATGGGCACACTGCTGAATAGCTCAGTAAATGAAAGATTTCCTGTTATATCTTAGAATATAAATTTCAAAGAGAACATTTTTATTTTGCTCACCTGAGTGTTCTTCCATCACTAGTTAGCATGTATTTGTTGAACAAATTCTCAGTCAGAGGCAATATTATAAACTCTAGTTGTATCTGTACTTTGTCAGGGTTTAGATTTTAGTTATATCTCTTCAAGTTTTATATTCTTACTATTTTCTGAGCTTCTTGAAAGTGACATGTTTATTGCTCTCTGAGTGTCTTTTATAAGGCCAGAGCAATTAGGCATTTTTATTTAAATACTTGAAAGATGTTCATTGAATAATTGGGTAAATTTCATTTTTGTAAACTTTTAAAACTAGAGTGATATATAATTTAACTTTAATTTGTAAGACAATTATATAAGTCCATGTGTGTTTTTGGAAAACACTGAAATTAATGGGAAGGAATTGCCTGAAAACTTTGTCACAGGATCTTGCATATAACAAATATTACTTTAAGAATGGTCTAAACTTGGGCCCTCCCTGGTGGAGCAATGGGTTAAAACGCAGCACTACCAAGCTAGACATAGGCACTTCCTTGTGAGTTCACCCCCCACCCCCCACCAGGGAGCTGATCCACCTGTTGCAGCAGCAGCCCTCTCCTGTCTTGCCGGCTGCTCCCCTCAGCAGTGTACTTTGTCAATCTGCCTGTTCTGCTCCCCTCTCTGTCTCTGGTGACTCCTCTCACCAACCCTGCACCTCTGGCCTGTACCCCAGTTCTGTATGCATAAGTAAATAAATCTTTAAAAAAAAGAATTTTCTAAACTTAATGTTCTTTATATATTATCCACTTTAATCTGCTCACTAATGTTATAGAGACTAGTAATTGTTCTTATTTTACTGACGGTAAAATTAGTTTGAAAGAGGTTAACTATCTTAGCCAAAGTCATAAAACTAGCTTAGGATAATGCCAGATTTTAAAACAGCTCTGAGTGCCATCAAAATCCAAGCCCTTAAACAGTGTACATTCACAACTTCATATTTCAATGTTTTCTTTGTACTTTATAAAACAACACTTACTCAAAAGTTATTAATTAATCACCTATAACACATCTAATTACATCAATTAGTAGTATATAGTACATGTTAAGCAAACTGAGCTCTTGCTTTATAAATCTCATCTTTGAATTGGGAAGACAGAAATGAACAAATACATATCTTTTCTCATTTATCACATGGCAAAAGTAAAACTAAGTGAGGAGATTAGTGTTTGCTTCTATTTAGCATTGGTGATTTCTACTTGCATAGAGAATGACCTCTTCAATTAGGTTTGAATAAAGTAAAGGTGTCACTTTACAGATATTACAGAAAGAATTAGCCAGGTTTTAATGTAATCTCAAGACTGAGGATTATTAGTGGAGTACAACAAAAAGAGAGTCTATATTAATTAGCTTATTTGTCTTGAGTGCCTTGAAGAAATGGATTGACATTATGAGGAAGGGGCTATTAAGGGCAAGACTGTGATTAGTAATCAGTAGGTACAGTTGTGGATAAATTAAATTTCAGATTACTGTAAGCATCCAGGTATGAATATTGAGTATAAAGTTGGGTATACCTTTAGTTCCAAGATGTATATTTAACAAGATTTGAAGTTATGCTTGAATATTACCTCTTTCAATTCATAAAAGGATACGAGCTCTCTGAACCAGTGATTAACCATGGTAGAACTGACTTTAAAACTTAAGTGAAACTAATCTCAACTCTTAATGTGGTACTTGTTTTATAAAGCATAGATAGAGTTTTAATAAATACAAATAAAATAAGTACTAGGGCATGTTATTGCAAGTTTTCTTCCTAATAAGATCTAAATCCCAAACATGAAAATAAAACTGATCTCTCCCCTCTGTAACCATTATCTACTTCTGCTACAAATACAAGATCCCACTTTATGGTTGATCATTAACCATTAATAATTGGATTATGATATTTGCATTATCTCAAGTTTCTTTAGGGCAAAAGCAATTTCAAACAGCTGCAGGGATTAGTAGACTAAATGGTATACAAACTAAAAAAATGGCCTGGTGAAATAAGACTAAATTTATGTAAATTAAGCACATTCTTACATGTAATTATTTACATGATTTGTAAAATATAAAATCTAATAACATTTGTTTTCCAGTGAATCATAATGCTTCTAAACAAAATATTTCCTTATGGTCTTAGCTGTAATAATGTATTTGTTGGTGAACTAATGGTTTCAGAAAAGAAAATAAGTGCAAATAAAACAATAAACCTAGATTTAGATGCAACTCTAGTGACATGACCTAATTCTATGCTTCACGAAATTTAGTATTCTCTGAAAATTTTGCTAAAATGCTGAGTCTGCTTTAATAGATTGTACTGGGCACCAAGATTTTGTATACTAACAAGATACCAGCTTATAGGGATGCTGCCTGTCAAGGAGGGGCCATACACTGAAAAGCAAGAACTAACTTAATATTCCCCTGTTTGTTCTACTAGCCACTGTGGCATGAGTTCAATCCCTGGCCAAGGAGCTACCCACATAGTATAACAGACCTCTCTGTTTGGCTCACTGCTTCTCTTAAATGTAATTATGTAAGTCCGCCTGTTCTGTTTCCCACTCTGTCTCTGGTGAATACACTCACCCCCTGCACTACTGGCTTACACTCAGTTCTTGGATGCATAAATTAATAAAAATGAACTTTTTTTTTTTTTTTGGGAAAAAATCACTTAGTATGAATGCTACCCTCTTAACTTTTTTGGTGCTTGGTACAACATAGGCAACAACAAACACACTGTTGTACAAGTGATTCTGGAAGTGTTCAATCTCGCTTACCATTCCACCTTTGGCAAACATTTTTCTACATTCTGCTTTCTGGGATTATACTGGTAGTAACTTAACAGAAGTAGACTCTAAAACCATCTCCCTATAGTTGTGTAAACTTTGAAATGCTTAGACCATATGTAAGTAATGATTATTTATACAAATATATAATTATTGAGAAAAGCCAAATTTAACCGTTAATAAATGGTTGAATAGTTTGTTATGGCATAGACATAATTACTACTCTTGTATGAATACAAAAGTTTAATTGTTTGTAAGTTTATAATAAAATTTAAAGTAAGTATTTTGCAATTATTGACACAGTATGGAGGAAAAGAAAATAGTTTTTATAGTCAGAAAAAATTTGATTGCCAACTGTGTGACTATATGATTTTTTCTGGTCAACTCAAGCAATATATTATTGAAACTATCTAAGCCATACTTTTATTTCTCTCAAAAAGAAATTTTGATAACAATTAAAAATAACAGTTAAATAATGCATAACCAATACATCAATACTGTAGTATTTCATGGTTAGAATAATAAATGTTGATTCTACAAAATAAATTCTGTTACTACTAAGGCTGTGTGTGGACTGGGTCTTCAGTTAATAACATGAAAGAATGTAAAATTCCAATCTCTGATTAAAATCATGTTTTGACATGTTTTATGAGTTCTTTTTACATGGATTTTTGATAATATGTTTTCCAACTCATTGGCCGATCTATTCTTTGTACTACAAACTGGGTAATAGAAAATGATTTATACAGTTACATTGAATTTACAAGTGTTAGAGTAATTCATGTTAATTATTGCTATGTCATTCTTGCAAGCTAGCAGGAACTGAGACAAGCCATAACCCGAACTAAATATAATTAGCATTAAAATTGCTCAAGCATGAAAAATAACTGACAGGGTCTTCAAATACCTTATTCTTGTCAACAAAAGATGATCATGCTTGTTTGCAGACATTGACTTCAATTGCTTTTCTCCCATTTTTTGAAATAAGAGCCATTCAACATCCTTATCATATTTACTCAATGGGTTTTTTGACATTAAAAACAATTGCTATCATAAATAATATGACTATTAAAACTAGGAGATGCCCACCATACTAAAAACTGAACTTTTTTTTTTCTCTCAAAATGTGTATTAGAATAATGTCAATTAGATTTCTGATCAGTCTAAACTCGTTTAGAGTATAAATCCTTTCTTCTAAGCTCGTAAATCTGTAATAAATGTAAGGGACATATTTACATGGAAAGACTTTTACATGAGTATGCCATACAACTCCTTACCACTATACTATCCATAATGATAAAAAAAAAAGTTCAAAAAATTCGAAAGGAAACAATGAAGAAGCTGTAGAAAAGAAGGGTAAAAAGAAACTTTTTTTGAGAAAAAAAAACTGTGTAAGTGTAAAATTAGGGAATGTACTACAAAACATAAAGAACTTGAGCTAGCATGGATAACGATAGACATATAGTAGGTTTTTGATTTGTATGGACTCGGCATTTGTTCATTTATAGTAGTGGAGTGAAGGGAAACTAAGACTATAGTCCTTGAATATTTGCTGGGATTCAACTCTTCAAATTCCTAATATATGACAACTTTCAAATAATTTTATAAGGAAAAGAGAAATCAGACAAAGCCAAATTTCTGACTTTGAGTCACACAGAAAAAATTTTTGTAGTCATAGAATGATTATAGGAATACAAGCTTCCTGCTAGTGTGAGCAGAACTGATGTTCTGCAAAGAAATCATTTTTTTAGTTTATTAATTGTAAATCTATGGAAATAATTCTGTGTGTAAACATGTCAGGTTTACACACATGTTGCCTGATTTGCCTGCTCAGCTTCATCCTGGGCACATCTGAATTCTAACCTCAGACAAATGCTGTGGTATTTTTCTGGTACAGCAGGGCATTCCAGTGTGTACGAACATTACGGCTGGTATAAATTTTGGCACCTGGGTACCTGTTTGAAGCAGTAGATTAATATTTTGCTTTTCACCCTTGAAGAAGTATATTATTTCTTAACTTTAGTAAAAAATATACTTCAACAATAATATAAGGCTGAAGTGATCTCTGAGTTGAGAGAATGGGACCAAAATATCTCAAAACAGAATTCTGCCTGTTTTAGAATTTGTCTGATGTCCACAAAAGTGTGTGAGACCCCATCATTAAAATAAAATTAAATTAGAATTCTTATTCTTTTTATTAATATAAATTGCAGTTATACCAAGGAGAAAAAATAGTCATAGCCTTATTTTTTTCCAGCTATCCTGCTAAGCAGCCATTTACAAATATAGCATGAATCACTTTTCTTTTTTAAATCAGTATTCCTCCAACTCATCTCCTGTCACTTCTTGATTTACAAAAGCAAAGATCCAGGGCTCTATCCATATTTGAACTTGAGTATCTTTCATGACATGAAGTCTTGGCACATGCTGCTTTTCTGGAGTATCTGACACCTTTCATGACACCTGTGACCCCTTCAGTCTTCAAGTTTCACATCAAATGGCACCTCTAAATGTATATTTTCAGCATATGTGATGTGCCATCTGACTTGGGAATGCCATTATGCCAAATGATTTATTTTAAACAAACATTTTTAATGAAATTTATATTTTTTATTAAATTAGCTTTGCATTATAACACTATATAAGTTTTTAGTATGTGTTAACTATTTTGAAAATTATATAATTATATGAATGATATACTAGTCTGCCCAAATTTATTACTTTTAGCAGTGAGTTGTTAAGTATTATTGGAATCAAAATTAAGTTTTCTTCTGAGTTATTTCTTTTTTATATGAATTTGTCTAGCTTTCTGTATTCCATTTATATGTCCAGATAAGATATCTGAATTAATATACATGTTCTAAATCTATGACTTGAAATAATCACTTCCCAAGTAAAATACAGAGGTCTTTCTAGATAGTGCTGTTAAATTAATTACAATATATTTCATGCCTTTATAAAAAGTTTATATGTATAAAATAGTTTGGTTCTCATAAGGTTTCTTTTATTTATCTTAAAATAGTTAAATTGATACTTAAATGTTACATACTATGCTTCTTATATAAATTAGTTGGGTAAGTGTTAGCATATGTAATACTAATATGGAGTGATCAATTTGATAACTATGTTTTAGATACTTTCACACATAGCAAGCATTATTATACCTTTTGTATTTCATCACAGACACATTTACGCAAAATGCCATAATTTCATCTATGAAAAGTCATTTATTCTCTTGATCAACTTATAAACCGTAAGGAAGTTAACTCACAGATAGTCAATGTTTTGTTTTAAGATTTACTTTTATTTGTTTATGCATATAAGAACTAGAGTGTAGGCCAGAGGTGCAGGGTGTTTTAGAGGATTCACCAGAGACAGAGTGGATGACAGAACAGGCAGATGTATTGACATACACTGCTATAGGGAGCAGCCAGTGAGAAAGGAGAGGCCTGTTGCACCACATAGATTATCTCTGTCTGGGAATCGAATTTATCCCTCCAATGGCTGGCAATAGTTTGATAACACTGATACTTTAACTCCTGTGCTACAAAGAAGGCCCAAATAATAAAGTTTACATTGTTTATAAAATAATACATAGCAAATTTTAGTGGTAGATACTTTTCTAAGTGACTTAGATAAATATTAAGTCACTTGGAAACTCATAACAACCCTACAGGGAAGATGCCATTCAAGTTCTCTTTTTACTAATGAGAAATCCAAGATTACATTGTAGTAAGTGACTGATCTACTATTCAGAGGCTTGCACTGTGAAACAAAGCATCTGCTCTGCTAGTCTCTAAACTATATTTCTATGTTGAGCACTAAGTGAGGAGGAAGACTCCTTCCATCAGAAATGATCTTTGCAAGACAAGTTTTCAGATAGCAAGAGAAATTCTTCAAACAAGGACTTGAAGAATAAAAGTAATTTAATTAAAAGATATTGTGAGTAAAAGAGAGGTAAATAGGAGTTATCCATTAGAAAAGAAATTACAGCATAGAAATGAAGTTTGAAAAATACAGTAATACTTAAATTATCACCAAAAAAAGAGCTGTTAGGCTGGATAGAAGCTTTTATTTAGAATTATGAGAACAATTAATATGTTTGCAGTGCCTTGCTGAAGATAATTATTTGCATGTAACATCATTGACTCTTTAGAATTTCTCTTTAAGCTCATTTTGTACAAATTGATTTTAACATTGGCACTTACATAATTTTCATATCTTAAATGTCAATCTTTTATTATTCTTGTGCTAACTTTTTTTCATTAATCCCAACTATGACACTAGGGTATCATCATATCACCAATGTACTTGCTACTCAAAGAGTACACTTTATTTTAAATGATTGTATATAATTCAAATAATAAATAAATAAATAAAACTTCAGGTAAATATTTTCTAAACAAGAATGCAATAATTACAAAGCAGAAGTTATATCATTGTTTTCTTTTCAGGTAAACCAGTGATGATAGTGACAGAGTACATGGAAAATGGCTCTCTAGATACATTTTTAAAGGTAAGATTTATACAACATATTCCAAGTGTTACATCCAAGTGGTTAAGTAAGTGCAAGTAGCGAATCAACAGCCTTTAGATCAACACTATTAGAACTTTGCTGAGAGAGAAAAAAATCCATTCTCAGCGGGGGCCACTGTCTGTGTGGAAATGGCATGTTTTCCCCTCTCTGCATGACTTTTCTCAGAATACTACAGTTTCCACTAATATCGTAAAGATGTGCCTGTCAAATTCACAGGCATATCTAAATTTCTCATTCTGAGAGAGTGTAGATGTGTGTGATCGTGCCATGTGATTGAAAGATGGCCTTTCTAGGGTAGATTCCAGTCTTGAGATGCCTGGATAGGTGTGGACACTGGCAACCTAACTGGAATAAATAGATGTGAAGATGAATGAACAGACGAATGAATGAATGAATACAGACAATCATTTTATACTGGAAGTGTCTTGGGTCTTTATATAAGTCTGGTGTTTTGCAACCAGAAAATTTATTGGGAACTTAACTATTGTTTTTATCAATTAGCTTACAGTAAAGTTGGCTGTATAAAAATGTTGGCTTTTAAAAAAACATTCATTTTATTTAAAATCACAGTTTCCAAGAACCTATAAATCAATTAACCTATAGTAAAATTATTTTTATAAATAAACTTGTTTTGCTTTGAATCACAATTTCTAAAAACCGATTGACAATGTTAAGTGAGGATGGACACTGTATGTTAACTATAATGTGCGGTTCTTTTTCAGTTACTTTTAAAGTAAAATTTTAAAAATACAAATATCTGGAGTCAGAATAATTATATACTTTAATAATCAAATTTATTTTAAATTAATTTTGGGTAAAATTTTTACAAATCTAATTTATGTGTCCTATAGTTTCATTTAAGTCTATGTTAATTTTCCCACAAAAAAAGACAGACCATGAAAAGAAAGACAGGAAAGGGACAGGAGGGTAGAAACAGGAAGAGAGGAGACTGGTTGGTAGGGAAGGAAATAAAGAAGCTTTTACATGCATTTAATTTTTTGAAAATAGGTAATATTGGGCAGAGTAAGGAAAATATTTTGACTCTTACAGATTTTGCTGCCAAATTTCTTATACAGATTTTCAAATGCTCCAGACTCTTACTTTTACATTATTTTTTTTTCTACATTACCATCAATGGAGCCTTATTCTGTGCTTGCAATAATTTTAGGGCCCTTAATAAAGGCAGCAAGTTTTCAAGAAATGCTAACATTGTCCTGTTCCTGGCTCAGTCACTCTCCTTCTCATCTGCCACTTAGCATTTCCTTTATCTTCTCCTTTTACCTCTTTGTATGAGAGTGTATGTTGTCTTTTTTATCCTTTTCCATTTTTATTAAGATTTATTTATTTACGCATGCAGAAGTGGGGTACAGCCAGAGGTGCAGGGGGTGGCAAGAGGATTCACCAGAAACAGAGTGGGGAACAGAACAGGTAGATCTGTTCTGCTGAGGGGAGCAGCAGGAGAAGTCTGCTGTGCCATGTGGATCACCTCCGGGGCTGGGGATCCAATTCACACTGAAGCCGCCAAGGCTCAGAAAAGCTTCACAGTGCAGCACTCTAACCCCGCTGCTCCACCAGGGAGGGCCCTCCTTTTTGTTTTAATTGAGCTCACATTGGTTTACAACATTGTATGTGATTCAGAGGCATATAATTACACCTCCTCAGATGCATGACCTCACAACACACTACCAGGTCACCCAAAGTCCTCCACCATAATCCATTGTGCTACTTCTCCACTGTTTCTCTCTTTTCCCTTCCTGTCTTGTGCCTCAATTGTACAACCACCTGTTTACACTGATATTCCTAGCATCTAGCTTCTTTTAAAGCAAATCTAAGGCCTGCCCCCAACACAGGAGAGATGAACTCATTTTTCAGGTGACTAAGAATACTTACAATTCACATGAGGGCAATGACAGTTTTTACAAAGGCTTTCAAAATCTTTTCTACTTTGACCAAGCTAAGGACAGATATATGTTGCCAAGTTAACTAAATATGTCTGACAAATCCTGTTCTCCTTCTGCTAGAAATTGTATATGATAGGAGTGGGTGATAGAATTAATTTGGGAATTGAAGGGGGACACTTTCATATTTCCCCCAGTGACTGGCGTTGCTAGGCTAACATTTCTACATCATCTTTACAGAAAAATGATGGGCAATTCACCGTGATTCAGCTTGTTGGCATGCTGAGAGGCATTGCTGCAGGAATGAAGTATCTTTCTGACATGGGCTACGTGCATAGAGACCTTGCTGCCAGAAACATCTTAATCAACAGTAACCTTGTGTGCAAAGTGTCTGACTTTGGACTTTCCAGAGTACTGGAAGATGATCCTGAGGCAGCTTACACCACGAGGGTAAGATCTAACAGAATGTGATTTCTGAATCACTAGACTAGAGGCATTTAGGTTTAAATATTTTAAAGGAAATAAAAAAGGTACTCACCCAACATAGGAAAAGAGAACAAGTACTGGGGTAAAAAATAAATTCAGCTAATTCTCTTTGGTATATGTCAGCAATTCACATAATAAACTCAGGCAAGCAAACTACTCACATTATGAATCATCATAACTAATTTTTCCTTCAGATACTGAAAATAAAAGGTTTGGCTTAATCACAAGTTTTAAGTGTGAGAGAAAAAAAATTAAAGATAAAATCTCCACTAAAAGCAGTACACACACATAAATGTTTCAATAGCATTATTGAGTAGTTTAATCTCTCTGCACTATTACATCTTCAATTGTAAAACAAATAACAGAATTACTTAAACCTGTTGTTTAATGATTCTCATATTAGGAGATGAAAACTTTTTTTTCAAAAAGTTTTGATTTACTGGAGGTATTTTAATGTCTAATTATTTTTCTTATATGATATAAACTGTTAAACACATATTTATGGGACTTTTTTTACTAACTCCTACTGCTGCAATTAACAAATCAATATTTTTTATAAATAGCTTTGATTAAGCAAAACTATTAATTATATCAATAACTAATAAGCAAAATTAGTTAGATCAATAGCTAACTGCTATGCTATATAATTAACAATTCTTTCTGTGAAAAGCTGGATATTGGTATAACAGAATTTTCTAGGCAGTCTATATATTTCACTTCTTGATTTTTTAATGCTTTATGATAAACTATTATTCTCAATGTGATCAAGTTAGATATCCTTAGTCTTAAAATCCTTGTGAAGATAAAAAAGAAATTCTATTTTTTCATTCTGAAATTTGGTAAGCTTTGGAATAGATTCAAATTAAGTTTTTTGTCATCTCATTCTTAAGTTAGATGTGTTGTACATTACTTAATTCAACTTAAATAATGACATATTTAGGGATTGTACTAAGCAAAAGCATGTAAAGACCTCTAATGATCAGTTTAGTAAATAAATTAATTAATGAGCTATCCCTTTTCATTTAGGTTGAATTATCATTTATGTTATTTATAATAAATAAAATCTAAGTTAAGAATTCTCCTGGAGGACCTCCTTGGTGGCTTTAGGGTTAAATCTCAGTGGTATCAAACTATCACCAGCCTCTCCAACATGTATTCATTCCATCCCCTGCCAGGGAGCTGACCCACATGGTGCAATAGACCTCTCCTGTCTCATCTGCTGCTCCCCTCAGGAGTGTATTTCATAGGATCTGCCTGTTGTGCTCCTTAATTTTGTCTTTGGTGAATCCACTCACTGCCCTCCCACCACCCCCATCTCAGGCCTACACCCTAGTGCTTTTATGCATAAATAAAAATAAATCTCAACAACAAAAACAATTATCCTGGAGTTGAGTTACTTTTAATAACTTGTCCTAAACAAGATTGAAGTTTAAGAAAAATCCATATGTATATTCGTTGGCTGATCTTAGTTGAATGCATAAAAGTGATTAGTCAAAGTCTGTGTCAATGTGTAAGTCTGGGAGAGTAAGAGGGGAATGAAAAGCAGCAATCCTAAGAATTATTCTTTTGAAATGAGGTGTGATGTGAGTTTGTGGGAAATCTAAACCAAGACAGATGAGAAAATAAGGGAAATTCAGATAACATTATTGATTGCAAATATGATGGTCAGAGGATTGGGAGAAAAATACGAGAGTTTAGTTTATAACAGTCAACAAAATGAAACTTTAAGGGGAATAATAATATATTACATTATTCTATAATGCACCACAACTGGGTCTAATTATGTGATATTATCTGTGAATATTTAATGAATAATACAGATAATAATTATTAACTGAAGTATTCTTAATATGTCACCATATGTTTTAAGGGGCAAATAATTCAAACTTTAGTTTGAATAATAAGTTAAAACAGTTTACAAGATAATTCCAAGCATTAAACAAAACTGTTACTTTTCACATATCTGGAAACTTTGCTTAAAATTAAGTTTAAGTTCCATTTTCTTTAGTATGCAGATTAAGTCAGTTCCTCCTTGTGAAATCAGGAAGACATATATAAATTTATAAGAAACTATTCAAAACCTATACTCCTTTATCTTTGTCTCCTTAATATAACTTTGCACTAATTGCCTGAGTTTATCCACTTTTAAAAATGGAGAGAAAACAATTCAAAATGTGAGGGTTAGAATATTAAAGGGAAATAAGAGAAAGTCATGAAAGTATACTCCTTCATCCATGTTAGAAAGCCCAAACTTGATCATTTCAATTTTTACCATATTTTCAATAGTTTAAATTTTGGTTGAATTAAAGGAGATACCTATCTCTTTAGTTAAGTTAAATGAAACAAAACCAGTGCAACCAAATACAAAATATGCCAATGGAAAAATAAATCAATTCTAAAGGAAATTGCATACTGTCAAGAATAAACATAACTAACATCTAATATATCTGATTTTTATTCTTGTTTTATTAGCTGTTAAACTTCTCAGGTTATAGTCAACAACCAAGACTTTCTGCTTACAACTCCTATTTTAGAGAAGGAAAAAAAAAAAAAACACCCTGGGAATTTGAGTTCTTTACTCTGTTAGAAAGTCATGAAAGTGTATCTTATTGATTTGCTTGACTGCCTGCTTTCCCCACTTGAAGCTGCCATCCTGATACTGTAATTGAGATGTGGGTCCTGTATGTGTTCTGGTAGTCAAACAGAATTTAAATGAGAAACCTTCCGGATAGCCAATTAGTAGTCAGTCCACAAGTGCTTATGGGCTGAGATATGTGAAAAGACACTGTGAGCTGTCAAACAGATTCACTTGAAAATGCTACATCTCTTTCTAGATCTTTTCAGTGAGGCTGCGGTATCCCTAGACACATCTGAAGTGTGAAGGAATTTTTTAATTCTTTTTCAATTTTAGGGAGGCAAAATTCCAATCAGATGGACTGCCCCAGAAGCTATAGCTTTCCGAAAATTTACCTCTGCCAGTGATGTCTGGAGCTATGGAATTGTGATGTGGGAGGTCGTGTCATATGGAGAGAGACCCTACTGGGAAATGACTAATCAGGATGTAAGTATGGAACTCCTCCCACCTGAGTGTGAAAACGAAAAGCTTTGCTTTCTAGATCAACAGGAATGTAAAATATTTTTTCATTTCTGAAATTGACACTTGTTTTAAGAGGGAAACATTTTGATTATCCTCTGGTCCATTTTGGTTGTTGTCAAATGTTCTTTATGCAGAAGCTCAAAATGAGTTAGTGCAAAGAAAACTAAGTTTCTGTTATATAATGGTTCACTTTCTTGCCAGACAATTCCAGCAGTTCAGTCATATTGTGTCAGTATCATCTTCAAAGATGAAGAAATAGCCATCAAGAATACTGATAAGCAGGTTTTTATCATTTGCATTTGTTAAAGTCAGCTAATACTCCAAAGTAAAGGGTGAATTTATTGTTTTAGTAGTTTTATACCTTTACGGTATAAAAAGGAATTATATATATATACATATATATATATATATGTATATATATGTTACTTTAGATTTTAAACTTCAGGTGTGATAATATACATCTGAAGTAATATGGACTTATACCCCAAACCATACTAAGTTTTATAAATATACATGTCCTCAATAAAAAACAAACAAACAAAAAATTTAAAATAAAATCAGAATGTAGGAACATTTTATTATCTATTCAATTTGGGAACATAATAGTTTTTCTCACATGGAAAAGTCATCCTTGCTTAAAATAAACAAATCCTACAATTATAGAACCACAAAAATTTCTCCTACTCAAGTTTAAAATGCTTACTATAAGATGCCTGATATACTCATTGTTCTTCTGTCTTTGCTTTGTAACTTTCTTTTGTTACTTCTTAATATAGCCCTTTCCCTTTGGGATCGCCTTGAAATTTGATATTTTTCCTTCAAATACTCATTGAACAGTTTTAATACCATGCTGATTAAAAATATCCATTTTTCCTCCAATTATTTCTTTTATCCAGGCTATAAAATTTCCCTCTCTTTTGCTTTCAGGATCTGTTAGATAGGTTATTCAGCTCTGCTACCACATGTTAGTGAAACAAAATTCCTCTGCCAGCAGTCAATACTTATTTTCAGATATAAAATGTAAATCCAGTCTAATCAGAGTCAATCACATATATCTTTCAAAGTGCTTTTTACAATTGCAAAGTGTTTTTTACAGTCTAGCCCTAAGTACTTAGATTAGAAAGGAAAAGTAGTCAAGAGTCTTGATTCTCTTCCTCTGACAAAGACTATATCTAGACTTTTCAGAATTGTCCTGGATAGAGAAGTAAGAAGGACAAGATGACTTTATAATGTTTGTTGATGACTCCAAAGCTACAAAAAAACCCAAACATGAGTTCTCTAGTGAGGAAATTACTGAGCTCTTCCAAAGACCTTGAAGGTCTTCCACTCTGTAGGTTCCCCAGAGAAGATGCTCCACTGACTTTTCATAGTTCTTTCTTGCCACCACCACCTCAGTCTCTTCCCCTACCTCACATGTGTCTGCTTCACCATAGGGAAACATATTCTAGTCAGATGATTTAGTAGTGTCCCCCCTTTGGATATCATTGCTTCCGTCAGCCTGCCTTTTTCAAATTTCCCCCTTCTGTAAAAAGCCAATGTTATACTTTGGCTTCCCCAAGAATTAGTTCTTACCATTCTTGACTGATAACAATATAATGACCTTATTGTTTTTTTTTTCTTCACCTCAATAAACATGCTACAAAGCACTGAGGCTCCCCTTTTTACAGTCATCTAAAATTGCTATACTTGATTTTCTTTTTGTCCCATTTACTTGGCTCAAGGAAGGGATTTTGATTTCTGTTTTGCTAAATTTGGAGATTATAGCCTCTATTGTCATCAGCTTTATGATTTTGAGGACAAAGGTATGGCAAAGTATATCTGAACTCTTGTTGTTTACAAAACCATTAGAGAGATGTTTTTTAGTTATGAAATGAACCTTAAAAGAATATATTATTTTCTTAGGGTCACAGAAATAATAAGTTATACTAGAATTTTCAGTTAGTTTCTACATAACTTTGTACCTAATCACCACACTGTCTTCAGTTGAATTAATGCCCATTTCTTTTCTCTCATTTTCCATTTAGTATCCTAGATATACTAATTGAGTACAAAATATTCAATTCGACATGTATGAGCATCCTGGGTTGACTTAGTCTAGAAAAAGACCAGATCATTTACAACTTTCTATTCTCCAGATAAATGTCAAAGTTTAACTTGAGCTACAGAACAACTTCCTGGTTTTGACTTCAAACTTTTCTCAGGCTACATTTTAATAGCATTATTTCCCTTATTTTTTTTATAAAATTACCTTACGCTGTCATTTGAAAGAAATATCTGATATTTTCACTAAAGGAAAATATTTATTGCTCATTTTCCTAGTTAGCTTCTTCTCAAATTTGAGATACTTTCAATTCTATCTCTCAAATTTAAATGTGTATTAAATATATAGTACTATAAACTATATTATTGGCCATTTTTCTGACATAATTGTATATTTCACAAATAAAATCATACACAAAATTAGAACATGAAGCTGGGAGAATGTTCCAGTTTTTTTTCTGCTGATCTTGGCTAGGTTTGCTCATTTTTGTGGGTGTTAACTGATTCATCTTGGGTAAGTTCTGCAAAGCTTTCATTTTCCTCTGAAGAACAGTAGGTTAGCCTAAAAATGAGTTCATTTGCCAAGTGTCTGAAGGGCAAGAATGAACTCAGTTGCACCTCAGCCTAAAATTCTCTACTAAAATCTGACTGGACAACCCCACAGTTAAAGGACTGGTCTAATCACACAGTTGATTGTGAGTGAATAATGTAAGTTTCATGAAGAGGGAGACAGAAACAAGGAGATATGGAGGATTTGTAATTTCCCCCCCTGATTTCAGCCATTTGTAAGCCTTTATATTCTTCCAAAATGTAATAGAATGCCTGGTAATATTATCAGGAAGTTATAAAAATAAGAACATTTTTACTGGCTGGGTTTTCCAAGAATCTAAATGAAGCTAACAGAAAATTATTACACAATAATAGATCTCTCTATAATGTCTGCTTTTATTTTTTTTCTTGTGTTCTAAGCATTTACTTGGAGACCCTTATTGACATTAATAGTATCTTAAAAATGCTTGAAGCTGGGTTCAACAATGTCTTAACTTCCTGGAATATCAGGTGTTGTATTTGTAAAATATGCATAATAATTTCAACCTTACAAATATGTTATTAATAAATATAGATAATACATGCACACTTGGCATCACACTGCCTAAAGTATAATGCCTAGGCTATTATAGGTCCTCCAAGAAACTTATGCTAAGAGGAAAGAGGATATATATTAGACTTATAAGCAGAAATGTTTGGAGGAAACCGTGGAAGCTGGAAGGGATTAGATTTTGATATAGATCTGACTTCAGCTACAATAAAAAGGAACAGAAAAATGTTGCATGCTAGCACCAGACAATGAAGTACAGTTCTAAGAAAGATTGGCAAACCAGGGAGTTCTCAAGTTAGTATCATTTGTCATAGGAATCACACAGGAATTACCTGCCACTGCCATGTTCAACGATTGAGTGAAAATAATCTACGTATATCATAGCCATGGCTTTGGTGAAATGTAATGTTGGGTTTTAGAGGAGTCAGAATTAAGGGTTGATGGGCAGATTCCAACCCTACATGTAATTATCTCAGAGATAATTTTTACAGTTGACATGCTCTACTTTATTGCACAAACCTACTTCTTCACTCAGGTTTAAGGAGAATCTGTTCTATGGTTTCTCTTCTGAGGAGAAACACAGAAGAAATAGTTTATGGACTGAATTTCAGTATTTGTAACTTCAGTTGAACTCAGGACCTCATCTGGTCTTTAGATTACCTCTTCCCCAATATTTATGTGTAATTCCCCTCATCTATCAACTTGGCAAATCATGGCAAGTTAATGGATGACCTAAGCCAATCCTTCATTATTGGGAGTTAGCCTTGAACAGCCATAAGGGTAACAGGAGGCTAACGCAGTTATAAAGTACTCCACATGTTATCTTGGGCAACACATTTCTTTTGATCCAACTAAGTGAAAATAAATCAAAGGCAGCCTGCTGCTTGGGATTGATTACTTTTGCCATCATGGTAACTCCCCTTCTCTTGTGCTTGTACTTGGGCAGAAGTACTTCAAAGTGCCCTGCTGGCAACCATAACTGTCAGTTCTATGGTAAACTTCATGTGTTCCTTGACAAGAGTCACTGGAACAAGGATAATATATAGGTTTCTGATTTTATAAATACACTGCACCCTGATGAGTGCGACCAACTAACATTGTTCAGAGTTTTGCCTACAAGTTGGTGCTTTAACTGATTTTATTGAGGCTACCGGAGGGACAAGATGGGGGATAAGAAGCAAAGAAAAGAGGGACCACAATGGACTATGGTGGAGGAATATGGGTGCATTGGTGCGTGAGGTGTGGCAACTTACATCTGAAGAAGTATGAACTTATGCTTCTCAATCATATACAGTGTTGTAAAAAATGACCTCGATTAAAATATATATTATATATATATATAATTGAACTTCCTGAAGTTATCTACTTCTAAATGGTGAGCTATGTATAAGTAGTTAATGGAATGTGCCAATATCAGTTAGCAAATTTTCATAACATTTATACCTGAATGAGACCATTTTGGTAACAAATGCAAATTGCCATGGAGGATGTATTTTATACCACATGAGAAAATGTTACAAATTTATTTCTCTCACAAGGGGTATTAAATAATTACCAGCCCATGACTGAATGTGATACTTATATCCTATCGCAGTTGGAAGATGCATTTTGTGTGATTCTGTGTTTGTGGATGAAGCTTTTCGCACTTACAATGATAACTTAGGCTCTGTGTGCAGCAAAAGTAAAATATACCCAGAATAGGTGTATACACCTGAAAGTATGAACCCATTGACATGATGGAAAGGACCCAACACTCAATTTGCCACCACATAAGTAATGCTATATCAAGTGTTCAGAGCAGAGATTCTATATATTAGAAGAAAAGACAACATTCTTTAAATTGTATTCATTCTGTTGATTTGCATATCAATGCCAGGAAATGCATGCTTATAACACATCAGATGTGGCACCTATGAGTTGAGAACAGTTCATCCAAAAAAATCTTCCTTTTCTTTGTTAATCTCAATCACCTATATTAACAAATGTAATAGCAATATCAAATTCTATTAAGATAATGATTCATGTGGTTGTATGTTGTAAATTTCATGGTAAAATGAACAGCTTATATTACACTTTGTAGATTCCTTACAATTTATGAACCAACAGAATACTAGTGCTATTCATTTCACCCCAAAACTATGAGAAAAGAAACAGTTAAATATTTAAAAAATCATTTCTTAATGTCTAAATATAAAATTTAAAATTATGGCTTAAAGGTTAATTATGAAGGTGAACTTAAAATTAAACTCAATGACCTATATACCTGGGTTAAATTCTAAGTTAATTTAGAGATAGGGTACTATATTTCTTTACATGAATTTACCTTAAAATAAAGCAAATTTAGTAATATAGTCTGGAAATAATTCCTCAGATTAAGTAATTTAGGTCCCTTTAATACTAATTAATTGGTTTATTAATTTAAAAGTCACATATAAATATAAAAACTAGATGCTCAGTTGAAGAAAGACATTCTTTTTAAAAATTAGATGCTATAGGAAAAAATAGAATTAATTGATAGTAGCTTTGGAGGAAAATACATCATACAATAGATCATTCTTAACGTAAATAAGAATCACAGCTTTCACTCCACATTGAAATATTTTATGATTTAAACTACATTAGGACATTTCTTTATGGTGTAGATATATTGTAAAAGAAACACTGTCATCATTATGAAGTCTTACTAGAAGTTAGCTTCCAATATTCTATGAGTATAAATGGTGCTTTTTATTTTTTATGATTCATTTATTTGATTACCTGTGAAGATAAAAACTTTCTCAAAATTTCTTTCACTTACTTTAATTTGTAAATTTTAGGTTAGTATATACTTCTCATTTATCTGTTGACCTATTATTTCTTTTATTTTTTATTACCATATATATATATACATATACACTACATCGTTCTTCATTTTGTTCAACTTTTTATCTCAGTTGTAATCCCCAATGGCTTCCCACACCAATTCACCTGTGTGCCATCACCACAGTCCAGTGTACTCTTCCCACCCTCATTCCGATTATTCCTAAATATGTATGGGTTCTTATATATTAGATATGTTGACCATATGTTTTTACCATATTTTATACCATAGTTTAACTTAATTTTTTTATAATGTTTTTGAGTTAGCCAAGATGATAGATGACTCAGGTATTGTGCTCATAATTATCCAACTTTTTGACTATATGCTTTTAGAGTCTTTTTATTTTTTTTTAATTTCTCTGCCTGAACTTAACTATTGGTGCTTCTCAGAAGCCTTAGTATTATGCCTTCCTGGGGAGTCACCCCAGGACTAAGTACTGATGACTCTTATAGGATATTATCATGTACTGTGGTATATGTGCATATTTCCTGTGCCCTACCCATTTCCTGTAATTGGCCAACTGGGTGTTTTCCACTTACCTCAAGTAAATCAGGCACCAAGTTATTCCTGAAAACATATTCAACCACCTTAAATATCTTTACCTGTCCTCCAGTGTTACTGACTAGAACTTTTATTTCAAATACTTTACCCCCTTTTTACCTCTACTGGTGAGTCATAAGTCTCTTAAAGCTGTCACTCCTTTTTGCCATCTGCCACAGATGGAAAATTTTATTTAAATTTCCTGTTTTTACCAATCTTTCAAAGATATCATTGTAAATTTCCAATTCATATTAAATATTTTTCATTTGTCAAATAAAAATGAATGATTTAGTGAAAATAATAAATTTAATCATTTAGGAAATGTCATTTTGAGAATATGTCCACTGTCATTGGTTTTTGGTATCATTTAAATGATAAATTTTAATAATTAAACAAAGTCGATGTTATGTTCAGCAATATAAAAGAATATCAATCTAGGCATTTTGATAGCAGCAACAGTATTAAGAATTTTTTTGATAAAACGATCTCACAAATAGATTAATAAATTAATACTCATAATGAAGAGGTTACATTTGAAATTGTGATGTTTGTAATGTTTGTGCTACTAAACAGTCATTCCAAATTCTTGACAGAAATCAGCAGATGATAATAAACAGCCAGACCTTGACATTATTAAATGATACATGAGACAGTTATGCTAATTTAGCCCTTGACTTATCCATCATTTACCACCCAAAAGTCTCTTTTTAAGTAAAATTGCAGTTCTATTATGTTAAAAAATGTGGTTCTACACATAATTTTTCATTAAAAAGGCATTAACTTTTCAGGGAAATCACCAGAAAATTTAATCTCTCTTTGATTCCAGAACACAGGATAAATAAAACATGATAAATAAAACATTTTCTATGTCAATTGATTTTACAAATCGCTCATCAAGATTTTAGGTAAAAAACAATGACCATTTATTTTCTTTATAATATGTGAATAAATCCTGTCTTGTATATTTTGATAGCATATCTATTTCTTTATATTATTTTACTTTGGAGCAATGGAAGTAATCAGATTTTAAAGGTAGTGATGCTGATCGTTGTTGCAAGAATAAGAATAAAAAGGATGAAAATTGGAGAGTAGGAAATTTCTTAAGCTATTCTGTACTAAACTTACAGTGTTGAGGACTGGTTTTGTTTTGTTTTACACAGGTGATTAAAGCAGTAGAGGAAGGCTACCGACTGCCAAGCCCTATGGATTGTTCTGCTGCTCTCTACCAATTAATGTTGGATTGCTGGCAGAAAGACCGAAATAGCAGGCCCAAATTTGATGAAATTGTCAACATGTTGGACAAGCTGATACGTAACCCAAGTAGTCTGAAGACACTGGTTAATGCATCAAGCAGGTACAATCTCTGACCTGAGGGATTTTAATGAATGCAGCTAATTCAGACTGGTGCCACAAATACTGTATTAATTAAAATTAATTATGTTTGTATACGTGTTAATCTATGAACCTAATCTATTTGAATATAGTTTTTACACACTGCTTTTTTATGATTGATATAGAAGTGATTAAACTATACTTGTTACCCTTACCTAGTCTAACAATATAACATGACAGCTTCAGAAAAATGTTAACTATAATCAAGTATTGGCAGCATTAAAAAAATTCTTAAATCAGGCCCTCCCTGGTGGCGCAGCGGGTTAAAGCACTGCACTGAGAATCTAAAGCCACTTCCGCATGAGTTCAATTCCCGCCTGCCCCGGAGGTGACCACATGGTGTGGCAGACCTCTCCTGACCCACCCGCTGCTCCCCTCAGCAGTGTACTTCGTCGATCTGTCTGTTCTGCTCCCTGCTCTGTCTCTGGTGAAGCCTCTCACCGCCCCTGCACCTCTGGCCTGTACCCCAGTTCTGTATGTATAAATAAAATAAATCTTTAAAAAAAAAAATTCTTAAATCTGTCTTTTCATGTGCTATAGGAGGAAACATAACAGAAAAAAATAAGGAAAAGCCAATTAAACACTGATATATTTAAAACCAGTGATATTTAGCAATAATTACTTTTTGATTTATTCAGAATGGATTTTAGTATCAATTCATATTTTATGAATATTGACAATTCCTTTAGAGAGTTGTACACAGATTTGGCTTATCATTTATATTTCCATTAAGTAAAAAATAAAACTCATAAATGAATTACCTGCTGAGAAAAATCTTATATGAGCTTATAAGATTTTCTTTTTTTAATATGCATGAATACATTAAATGATAATGCCTCTTTTCAAGTATTTTCTGCTCATTAACCTTAAAAATTACAAAATTGGGATCCTCCCTGGTGGCACAGCGGGTTAAGGCACAGCACTGGGAAGCTAAAGCCACTTCAGCATGAGTTCGATCCCTGCCTGCTTGGTAGGTGACCCACATTGCGTGGCAGACCTCTCTTGACCTGCCTGCTGCTCCCCTCAGCAGTGTACTTTGGTGATCTGCCTGTTTTGCTCCCCATTCTGTCTCTGGTGAATCCTCTCACCACCCCTGCACCTCTGGCCTGTACTCCAGTTCTCTATGCACAAATAAGTAAATCTTTAAAAATATATATAAAATTGTCCTAAAAAATTCAGTTCATATCTTTACTAAAAATATACCAGATTTTATTTTCACTGTATTTACTGTATTTTTGATTTTATAAAAAAAAAAGTTCTGCTGAAAATGAATTGGCTACTACCATAACTCAATGAGAAACAATTTGTTGGTTGATAAAGTTACATAAGTCTATAATTCTGGAATGACATTTGTTTGTAAGACAAAAAGTCATTTTTAAATATAAATGAAGAATGAATCATCAAACTCTGTTCAGGCGTCATTAACTTCTTGTGGTAGCAACTGGAGAATTGCCTCTTCTTAGAAAGGATTCCTTATGTTATTCCTGTGATATCTATTTTCAAATTATTTATTACATGCAAAATAGTATTTCTTGAATCTATCTGGTTGAATTATGTTGTCACAAATGAACTTAATGAAAGGAAACCATAAAAATACATTTATGACCTAAATTGTATTAATGTATATCAACATTATCATTATAACTTGAGAGCAGTTTTAAAATCTCCCAATTATTTTCATATTTTTCTTGCATGCAATATATAGAATTTTGCTTCCAAGTTTTAGAAAAAATATTTGGCTGAAGACTATATCACTCAATACCCATCTTTATCAATCACCTATAGATCCTGATTCTAGAAGGCATTAGTTCCCGATTCATTGTCTCTTTCTAACTGTCCTTACCCATGTCACGTAGCTCAGTGATTTCAGTGAACATGCATATATTTGAATGTCTTTCAATATTTTGAAATGTTTTCCTTCATCCATTTTGTTCTCCAACCTGCCTTATTCTCCTCTTCCTGTAATCACATTCTAGACTCTGCTCTTTCCAAAAATTATTGGTATATTATTTATATCTAACATAATCTCAATCCAACTGTTTCCTCCTAAATCCTTATCTTCAACAAATGCTTGACTCCATTGTTTAATGACTACAAATCACTGCGAGGTATCTATTTATCACCCCCAATGACCTCTCATGGCTATACTCTGTGTCATGGTGTGGACTAATTGCTGAGGATACAACACTGAGCAAGATATGACCAATACTGAAAAATACTGGACATGGTAAAATGTTTTAAAAGTTGACTTAGAAGTAAGAAGTGAGAGTAGAATTTAGAAGTATAAAATGGAGGCTAGAATAATTTGCAGGTAAGAAATGATGATGTCTTCAACTAAGGTGATGACAAATAAGATAGAGAAAAGTGGTGAGATCTTAATAAAAAGAATAGTCTGTACAGTGACAGATGGTGAGGAAACTGAGGACAGAAAGGGCAACTACAGTACATGTTACGTATTGTGACAGGGAACAAGCACTCTAGGAGCAATTGGATATGGATTTGATAGAGATTTGGGGTCCAGTTTTATGAAAATGTGGAGGCATGAAGTAAACATATGAATATATCTGTCTCAAGTCAGAGGTAAAATTTTGAAGAAAAAATTGATGCTATTTGAAGTGTGAAATGAGCTACAATTGCTTAAAGTGCAGTGGAGTTATATAGCCTGTGTAAATGAAATACAGGGCTAAATCTTAGCTTCTTCCAAATTTTAAAGTCAGGAAAAGAAGTAACAGAGAGATTCAGGAAAAGTCGGGGACATTTAATGCCATGGTAACAAAGAGAGACTAATGATTCAAAAAACACTGAGGTAAAATAGCCTTTCAACAGGAGATGGTACTGGTGGTTACTGAATGTTTCTGAGTCTTCTTACTGTTTAAAAATTATTCAAAGGTTTTTGCAAAATAAATGACATTACCAATTTTTATGGAGCAATTTTTAAGGAAATAGTTTGTAACATACTATACTGTATTAAATTGAAGTGTCATTGAATGTGAGAAAGTGCAAAGAACATGAAAAGAAAGAAAGCTGTCTGTCCTATACCTTATGATTGAAATTTATTTAAGCAAACTCCCACTGACGGACATTTAAATTGTTTTTGATGTTTACTCTCATTAGTGAAACCATATACATGAACAATTAATGATTTTATCTGATTAGTTCCTTAAGATACATTTCTAGAAATGAGATTATTATCATATCATATGATTAGCCAAAAAGTATGATTTCAGTATAATTAAGAGCATCTTATAGTTTGATTGACTCTATTACGTTTACTTAGTGTTTGGGGCTACATTATATTTCCCAAGTTCTGCTAAGTGAATTAACCACTATCCTTATATAACAGCATAAAAATGAAGAATAAATAATTTACAGTCTTTCTGGGAAATTAGCTTAAATGAGCACGACTTTCTCTAGAGAATCCAGAAGCAATTTGTTTTACATAAATTATACCATGTAGATATATTTGGTAACATTTTCCTGTGTTCTTTTACAAACAAAACAATAATAGACAAATATATGTCAATTGTTACATTGATTTTTAAAAAAATAATAGTTTATTTTTTCATCATTTTATGCATTTTTCCATCTCAGTTGTATTACCCGTGGGCTTCCCATCACCAAATCACCCATATGTCATCACCATAGTCCAGTGCATTTCCCTCCCCTTACTGTTTTTGATCCCATTCCCCACTCCACTCTCATAAAATATCTCTGGTCTATAGGTTGATTATTATTTTCTCACCTGGTCCATTATACTCCTGCTATGAGAGAAATCATCCAGTATTTTTTCCTTTCTTTCTGGCTTATTTCACTAAGCACGATCTTTTCCAGCTCCATCCATGTTGCTGCAAAAGGCAGTTACATGGACTTTTTTAAAGCTAATACTTTGATTTATAGAACATTTACTCATTAAGCCATTATAAACCCTTGACAATTATTAATAGAAAAAAATCTGATTAGGTTGTTCTGTACTTTGATATTTCCATGTTAACACTTGTGTTTCCTTTTCCATATAAATGTACCCATATCTGTATACAAAATTTATTGACTATGAATTAATACTACACAGTTTGTTATAAAATAATTAGAAATGTTGTTTTAATATTTTTGTTTTGTATGTTTTAGAGTATCTAACTTATTGGCAGAACATGGTCCACTGGGATCTGGGGCCTACAGATCAGTAGGTGAATGGCTAGAAGCAATCAAAATGGGTCGATATACAGAGATTTTCATGGAAAATGGATACAGTTCAATGGACGCTGTGGCTCAGGTGACCTTGGAGTGAGTAATTTTTCTGATAATTTTTACATAATTGCTGGGGCGAGAAAAATCGTTCAGAAACCAATCTGGATGAGGTGAAGGGAAATCAGTTAATCTTTGTCTATGTGTGGCAGCTTTCAAAGAAGCCTCTTCTTTTGTAGCCTGTATTGTTAACAACTGCATGGTTAATGCTACTTGTGACCAGTATCTTTGCTTCTTTGCTTCAAATAAATAGCATTGAGTATTTGAATAATTGGAATAACAACTCCTTGGCAAAATACTGGTATGTTGTGTTGTGGAAAAGATGTTTTCTTGACAAAGTTTTTATACTGGTACCAATGTTATTTGAATGTAAATACAAAACAAGCTGTAAGCACAATTGGTGTGGCTAGTCCTACATAATGACAAAACATTTTTCTTAAATTTTGGCTATGATGATTATCCAGGTAACAATCATTTAAACAAAGCTTCCCAGGCAGGAATCTCATTTACTCTCTAAGTGGTGCACCTTGTATTCTTGTGATCCAAGGATATATCAGATCCTGCCTCTGATTTATTTGGTACAATCTCAGTGGAACCAATTGTGCCCTTTTCTGTTTGCACGTTTAAGATAAAATTTATTAAACCTTATTAAATAAAAATCACTAGAGTTAAATATTAATTCTTTAAGGTTGTAAGTCGTTTGTATTTTATTATATACTCTGTATGTGTAATTATTTTAGCCTAATATTTGTTATTTGTGCAAATTAATGTCGTTATGGTGGTTCCATCTAGATTACATTAACATTAATAATGTTTTAACCTGTGAATATAATGATAACTAATTCTAAATTACCTTACAAATTCAAAGGTTAAAATATTGTTGTAAGGGTTAGAACATGGTAGAACATTCTAAAACACTAATCCACAGTGCTTTTCTATCACTTCATGTAGTATGAGCATTGCGCATTCTCTCTCACCACTCTATTATTCTGGCATTCTTTGACTCATTGATTCACTTCCCACCCACACAAAAGGTAACAGGGTACCATCATTTGTCACCAGTTAAAATCATATTCTCAGGATTTCTCTTATTTCATGTCTACAGCTAAAAGGACCTAAAATCACCAATTAAATTAAGATTGTTCTCTTAATTTACTGAATATCATTCTTACTATCATTCCAAATCATATCTACCAAATGATATAAGTATTGCCCATCATTTCTTTGGAAACTCAGAGAACTCACATATGCTATATTTAAAATAGTAAGTAGACAATTTTACTGATAATTTAAAACTATTTTTACATGATTGCTATTTAATTTTTCAGTAAAAATGGTCATTTTAATTTATTAAAGTCATTTGTCATTTTATATTAAAATGATATTGTAGGTATTTCTTCTACCCAATGTCAGATTTCTTGTAAATATATAATAAAACTATTTGCATTAAACAATGTCTCTTTTTTTATTAAAATAACACACATATGTTTACATTTACATCCACTATCCTTTTATTTCTCTCTTCACAGCATAATTATAATCACAGTTTTTTTTTTAAACATTACCTATGTTTTGTTTTGTTTCTTGGGGCTTCAAAACACTATAAATATGTTGATTGTTTTAACATCATGGTTTTCCTTTGTCTTTTAACTTTTTCACTTTACTTTCCTGTCTCCCTCTATCCCCAAACTCTTCATTCACTCTCTTTTCTTTTAAACCTTAATAGCTTCTTCTGTCTTTTTATGAAGATTCTCCATCTCATTTCTATTCTCCAGTAAATTTTGTCTGGTCAGTTTTTTTTTAGCTGGTTCAGTTCTTCTCTGTATATATTATTTTAGTAATCTATGACCTACTATTTCCTTTCAAGCATTGTTTTTTCTTTTAATACATTTACTCTGATCAGCAGAGTAAAATGAAGTTAGGAGATTTACTGACATCTTTCTGTTCAGATAATGTTGGTTTCCATGTCAATTGTTTCAGATTCTTGGGGTCCATAATAATATATTCCTTATTAGGAACTGGGCCTGCACATTTTACTCTGATGAAATTGATTTCTTAGAAAGTCTAGTATTTTTGAATACATGTCCTCTTGTTTACTGCATCACTCCTTTTTGGTAATAACATATTTATCAAAATAGTATGTCAAATAATTCACAAGATAGGGAATAGTGTGTTACTTGTTTGGTTAGGAATAAGGAAAATAATATCTGCATTATATATCTCAAAGAAAAAGTCAATTATTTGTAGCAAATAAATCTGTGATATAAGTAAAAGTAAATCAAGCTCTTAAAACATGCTGATAATGATTTTTTTTAACACATGGTCTTAACAAATATTTAAATAATAATTTTGTGGTGACAGTATTTTACTTAATAAAATACAAAATATTACCATGCTGTTATTGTCAGTGCATTATAGAAACTAAGAACTGGAAAAATACATAAGTACCTATAATAAATGCTTAGTAAAAAAAATGATTAAGTATAATGCAAAAGATTGAACTGGCACATATTTAAGTTAGAAAAGATATGTTGTAATTTGTGCCATCAAATGTGTTCTCATAGTGGTTTTCGAAAAGGAAGAGTAAACATTTTAAAATTTTAGAACCACATTCTTTGGTAAAAATTCCATCGTAAAGATTTAATTTTATTTCTTTATGAATTATGAAATGAAAAGTTGTAAGTTCTTAAATTCAAAGTGTATTCAATGAAACTGACTTTCAGTCTTAGACATTTCTGCTTTTCTCTGTACCTAAACCTTGATGTTCTGTATACAGTATTCATATTAGAAACATTGTTGTGGCAGTAATAATATAATCTGTGCTATAGAATATATGTACAGTGAGTTATTGTCAACAGGGGGAATTGTGAGCTTCAGGTGAGTTGTAAATTGAATCCAAAGTTTTGAATTAAAGAGAGAATCACAGCTGCTTTTTAAACTGTTTGTCAGACCAGCACTGCCAACTTTTGATTATTCAGAAAGTGAGCAAATCCAATGAGCTTAATACTATACTTATTTGTGCAAGCTGAACAGCTTCCTATTAATATGATTCATTTAAATGTGGTCCTAAACTACTAAAATGAAAGTTTTTTTAAGCCAGAGCCAAAATTTGTGCACAGTAATTCAAATAGATTTCTTGCTAATAGTCATTATGCTTAATTTATTATATATTTAAATTGCCCATTGTACTTACTATTCGCTGAGTTCTACATAATTTAGCTGAAACTTTATGCCTTCTCAATGTCTCATCTGTTAAAATCATTACCACACCATGTTAAATTCTCACTTTTCAAATGTAAATATATTGTACTATAAACGTATAAATGATTATCATGATTTTTGTAAGTGTACCAAAATTTACCAAACATACATCTGCATGAGAAGACTATAAAAAGAATAAATATTAAAATTTAATGAATATTCACTAATCTCTCTCCTCCCTTCTCCTACCCAGCCAATGTTAGTGGGTTAAATGTTAGTACTATAAGGCAAACAAACAAACAAAAATATATGTAAAGTAGAAGGGAGAAGAATGAGAAGGGAAAGACTTATCCACAAATGCATTAATTAAATCCTGAATAATCAAAGAGTTGGCTCTAGCATCAACTGGACACTTTCTGTTATTCTCCATTTTTTTCATTCTGCCATTTTAGCCTCATGATATCAGTGTTTCCATATAATGGAAACACTTTTTTTTTAAATGCTGGAATGTATCCTTGACAGTGGCAACTCATTATATTCGCAACTTTTCTAAAACTAAACATCCTTTTTTGTTAACAAAGTTGAAACTATTATTTTGTAATAATTCTATTCTCATCATGTTTAGACTCATATGCCTATGCAGAAGTATAAGTTTATCATCACTGGAATTGGCCTTGGGTATTATTTAAGATTACACGTGGTCTTGCTAAAATTAACATAATGTCTCTGAAAGAGGCACACTTCAATGTTTGCCTAGCTATAACATTTCCTACATAGAAAAAAACAAACAAAATAGCATGTCTTACACCATTTCTTACTATTGTTTTCAAAAATCACTGCACAAGAGCAGAACCCACATCATTAAATGTAAAATATTTAATAATTTTATGAAGTTTTTCACATATTGTTTCTAAATTAACCATTTAATATATTAATTTGTAATGCGAGCTAAGTATTAATGTGGGGATTTTTGGACCTGATGAAAGTATTAGATAAATGTAGTTAAAAAAATTTACATTGATGAACTTGCCAATAACTTTATTAGAATAAAGTTATTAAACCTTTGCTAGAAATATTTTTCTGTTACCATTTAAATTCTCTTTTGTAGTATCAATAGAGAAGTATTACACAGAAGTTTTGAAGGAATCTCTTTGGTGATGAACACCTTTAATTTGTATAAGTGATCTTATTCCTTCCCCACTTTTTCAATGAAAAATCACCTGTAGATTGCACTGCATCACATTCTTGCTGTTTTTGAAGCTCTGCACATTACCTTGATAGGTTTTGAATTGATAAGGTAATATTTTAAGAATTTTACTAAAGACACAGAATATGTGACAGTGTATAAAATATAATGTTCTTCTTTAATAATGCCATTTCTCCCATGGAGAGAAAGGATAGAGGAACTTGGAATAAGGAGAGGAAAAGGAAGAAAAGAGAGCAAAGAAAGAGGGAACTTTACTGGTCTGATCTTCTGTTTGCATCATAATGGATAATCAGATCATAAATTGACTTTGAAATTAAAATCATGCTTAGTTCACTGGTAAAATTTGGATAAGCAGAACTTAAAATCTGGATATATGATGGTTCAAAAGAATGAGCGATACTATTTGCTAAATCACAAAAATCTGTAATTGCATTTATTAGTCAATTACAAATCCTTCAGCTATTCATTCTAGGGCATAATATAGATGTCAGGAAACATTAAATTTCCAATGCACTAAAGTCTTCCATTTAGTAAAATTACTTCAAAGAATTAAGTTACATAATAAGTTAAGACAATGAAAATAAAAGTCACACTAGTGATTTCATATAAAACGAAATTTCAGACAAAACATAAGATGAATATAACACACAAACTCCATAAATTAAGGTTTCTGTATTATATATGCGAAGTCCATGCTTTTTGAGTGAGGACACCTATAAAATCTTTTCTTTTCAGGTTTTAAACTACAATAAACATTTCCAAAGGTTGATCTCTGTAATTGAATGAGCCATAGAAAGCTTACAACCTAATGACATGTATATTACATCAATACTTTTGAGCTTTGAACTTCAGAATTACCTGTGGGTTTTTAAATCATAATAAAGCATGTTTTTAAACTTCAATTACTAATTTATCTTGTAGGGATTATTTATGAGTTAATAAATCATAATTTAAAAAGAAAAATATTTAGCCTGGCTTTTCCACACATTTACATAAGGCCAAAGTTTGCTAGTGAACGCCCATGAATGCCCAAATCTATATAGTTGATTCAAAAATTACATCTGGAAATACGAGAATTTTAATTAGCTCACAACTGAAACTGCCATAAGTATATAGTAGGTTACCACAGCTACAAAAAATATGTGTTTTATTCACTTCATTAGATATCTTCGCTTTTTAGAATTTTATATTTGATATTCTACCTACAGAGCTCTCATTTCACAGATGAATTTAATCACATGTAATTTGACATAGTTTGTTCAAAATACTATATCAAATAAATGAAAAATTAAGAGTTTCAACTTTGATATTAGGTTCCAGGTTTTACTCCTTGCTCTGCTGCCTACTCACTATGTCAGTTATCCAAATGATTTGAAGACCTTTTTCCCTTATCTATAAAAAATAGATTGATAAAAATCTGTATTCATAGTTTTCTATTTTACAAGAGGATATCTTAATTGTAACCTCTTATTTATATATTTAGAGTGAAAGTTCTCAATCAGGAAATCTTGGCATTCAGGGAACATTCAGCAGTATCTGACAACATTTTGTCTGTCACAGCAGCAATGGGATGGTACAACCCCTTTGGTATTTACTAGGCAGGGGTCAGGTGTGCTGCTAAATACTCTATTATGCTTAAGACAGTCTAACACAACATAGAACATCAGCTATGTTAACATGGACAAGCTGACAAACTCTGACTTAAGTAAGACGGAAACAAAATTACACTCTAACTTCTAATGTAATCTGAAACTAGTTATTTTATACTCCATCATAATTAACAATAGTGATTTTATGTCAAAGTGAATTTTTACTGACACTTAATTTTGTCAATTATCTTCCATGCCTACCACTTTTAATATACTTTATATTGTACTCTGGAATCCTGTAGCCATAAATTTCTGAATTTAATGTTTAATATTTACTTTCTGAGAATTCTTTTTTAGTATCAATTGCTTCATTTTTACTACTTACCATTTGCTAAAATTTTCATCAGAAATCAAGGAAAAATGAATCTACAATTTTATTTAATAAAATTACTCACTTAAATAATCATTTGAATTATTAATATGCATAGAATTTATATACCCATTTACTTAATTTTGTCCTCTGATAATTGATTTTTTGAGTTTCAAAAACTTGTATCCAATTCTGTAGAATTCTAAGACAGTATGAAATTACTGCATTTTTTAAATGCAAAATTATTCTGTGTAACATAATATGTTCAATAATATAATTAACTAAAATAGTTAGCTAACAGGATCTAACAGTTTTGCCATGTAGTATTTGAAATTTGAATGCTCATTTTCCCCTCTAATTAATGTTTATCATTTGCCAAATATACCTGAATCATTATTTTGCCAGCTATATATTTTAGGAGAATAGAATTCTTGAATACCTGTGAAATTACATTTAGAAACCATGGTCAGTAGTCCTGAATACCGTGATGTGAAGTTAGTTTAGAAACCTAAATATTTGCAACTTCCTTTCAAATAATAAGCTTGTTTAAAAGAACCAATATTAATATATTTTGTATAAAAAGACTTTTGATAGCGTGTAATCTCTAGAATGCTCTAATGCCAATAGATCCTGTATGTTATTTGGTAAAGGAAGAAAGCTCTGGTGCTTTGGGTTCCAAGTGGAAAATAAAATATTTGGAAGTGTTATATATGAGCATTATAGTGTTTTCAAATGATGACAGTCATTTGAAGAATTTGGTCTGCAACTGCTTATCTGTAAAATTATATTTTTATGCTTACTTCTTTTAACAAAAAAAATAGTGCTTGTGTATATTGTAGGTCCATATTTTTAAAACTGTTCAGTAAAATTGTACCCTTTACTTTAAATACTTTCCAGTAAGAATTTGCAAATGTTTTCAAAAATTTGTTCCACTAAATTAATGATGACATAAGAAGTCATTATTAGATATACCATTTTAGGTTATATCACTCCTCATTATCAACATTTCTTTGACAAAAAGCACATTTTCATGGTACAATTTTGGAACATGCATTTGAAAATTGGACCCTGAATGTCTAGATTGGGACTGTGACATAAATAGTTCTTGCACAATGTTTTCCTTTATACAGCGTGAAATATTGAGGTGTACTACCCAATTGAATCAATACATACATCCAATGTGTGCTTTCTTCATGCAGGGATTTAAGACGGCTTGGAGTGACTCTTGTCGGTCACCAGAAGAAGATCATGAACAGCCTTCAAGAAATGAAGGTGCAGCTGGTAAATGGGATGGTGCCATTGTAACTTCATTTTAATGTCACTTCGTCAAGTGAATGAATCTGCACTTTGTAACTAGCCCTGAGATTTTTTTTTTTTAACAAATAAGGGGGAAAAGGGAAAACTCAGTAATTTCTAATCTTTAGAAAAGCATTTGTTTCAACCACAGAATTTGTAAACAGTGTTTTACTAAAATCTCTTATCTTTCTCTCAGTGTCTTCATTTTCCAGGAAGCAAATATAAACTGCATGGAATAAGAACATGAGTTTAACCACTACCTTATGTTGCAACAATAAAATCCTTCCTACCACTTCACAAAATTTTATACATGAAGAATATAATTATGTATAGCACCTTTATAGACTGAATTAAGGCAGCCCCTTTCAATACTTCTAAGAATCTACTTGAAAGGAAAAGTTTTATAGCCATTTATGGGCTAATCTAAGCTGCAATTTACTGAAGTTTACTTCACGTCTTACTTGTCTATATAAGTGTATTGAAGAGCAATATCATTAGATGATTTCTTAAACTTAATAGATATCTTCTTTTGTAATTTTAAAATGCTGTTACACAGCATTAACTTATAGAAACTAGTGTATAAATATGTTGCTTGATAAGAACAAGTAAAATACAGGGTGTATAATTACTTTTCTGTGTTACAAAATTTACTTTTACTTGCTCTTCTAGAAACTGTTAAGTAATAAGTGTGTACATACTGTATAATTTGCTACATAACCCAGGAATCAATTTAATTTGGAGTTGTGTGTATATGTGTGTATGTTGGCACATGTGTGCATTATCGCTCTGCTTGCATTTTTAGTAGCATTTTAATTTTATCAACATACAGGAACAAATGTTCCAGAGTATAGTATGAATAAGAGAAAAAAGTAAAACAAAATTGAGCACAAGCTTGTGTATTTTTTCCTCTCCTATGTCCAAAAGCTACTAAATCTCTTTATACACTAACAGGAAATGTCTATAAGATTAAATCCCCTTTGGCTTTTCAAAAACACATTGTGATATGGGTGACAATGCAGTTCTTCTAGTCATTAATCTTGCACCCCTGTAAGAAATTTCACCTTTTTGATTCCCAGAAAATATCCTGTCAAGGAAAGTTGACACCGAAGGGCACAGTTTCAGCAGGATATAGAAGGATTTAACTGTGCAGGCTTCTGTTAATGTCGTTAAATCCAAGCACATAGCACTAAGCATTACTCTTAAGTTTTAATCCTGTGTAACCATTTCCCCTGTGGCTCAGCTCTAGAAATTTTGATATTACAGCAGCAATGGAATGATGGATATATATATGTGTGTGTGTGTGCATATAATATATATATATACATGCATATTCGTATATATATATATATACATAGATAATATGTATATATATATATATATTTTCTCATCAGAATCCTCTATTTCAAGACCTCACATTTTATTAGCTGATAGAAATATATTAATTTGGTAATTTCATATTGCATTCAGTTACGTTAATGCTGTTTATTTCGATTATCTTAGTATGGAACTAAAATATGTTCAATGTATGGTCTATATACCACAATCGGTGAAAACTGTCATTTGAGGTACGGATTACACAATTAATTATAATTTGAACAAAACTGAGTTCAATGGTGAAACAATCTTTTTTTGGCATTATTTCATTTTATAGAAAATTTGGAATGATATATTCAAGGAACACAACATTTGAACAAAATATAGTCTATCATGATTATCAATAGCACTATAATATACTGACATAGACTGAATTAATGAATTCCATAGGAAACATGGCTGCATTATATTGAGGGTAATGTCTTTTTTTGAAGCACCCATCCAGATGAATATTATTTATACAAGAATAAAACTTGGGGTGCAATATCTTTCTTTTCTACCTTTTCCATTTTTAAATTAAAAAATGAGGTCTGTCTTTGTTAAAGAAAACGACAGAAAAGAAAAATTTATAAATAATTATCAGATATATTGACTTTTGTTCAATTAGACTATACTTCTTTATTACATCTGTACTGTAGCATGAGTCCACACAAATTATACTCTAATTGTAAAATATCCAGATAAAAATAGAAGTTTAACATTGTCTTGATAAAATCAGGTAAGGCAGGTTTACCATTATTGAAGATGCATTTGTTCATTTAAGAACAAACTTAAACCACTTCCTTTTGAACAAAACAGTTGGAGATTGAATTGAAAATTATTGAATTTTGTAAAAACAACCGACTTTAATTGATATAATAACAATTGAGAAACTTCAAAGGAAGAATAGACTGACTGATTAAAAATCTGATTTTAAATCTGATTAACTACCCAAAACTACTTCCAAGAAATACAGTTATTTTCTAAGTTTTTTTCCAACTTTATAAATTCAATGATGTTTTGGAGGGCAGGATAGACTATACGTGACTAGAATTTGAAGTTAGACTGTAGAGTTCCCCTTTTATTGCAAAATATCTTTTCAATCAATTTACATTACTTTGCAGACTTAGTGTTTATTTAGGAAAGTAAATGGAGATGAGTTAAGAAGATAAATAGCTTACCTCTCTATCTCACTTTAGTGGAGAATTTCTAAGAAATGTCAATATTATCTTAAAAAGAATGAAGAATTTTTTAACAAGATTTGTTTCCCCCAAAAGATAAAATAATTCCTTTCTAAAATATTTGTTCACCACTGGACATGTCACCAATTGGGAAGTGTCAATCTCATCTATAAATGTGAGAAGTATAGTAAGGAGAAGAGGCCTATCTCTTGAAATGCAGTGAGGCAATAACCCAGGGAAGGTTTAACAAATCCTGATTGTGTGATTTCATATCATTTTGATTCATTTTGTCACTCACCAAGCAACCAAAAATAAAGCATAGAAGATAATTTTAGCACATAAAATAGATTTGTCAGGTAATATGTACTGTTATTGTAACTATCATTAGCAATAATTTAGTGGATGGGTCTTTCTTCAGTGTTGAACTTTGAAAAATAAGTATAAGCAGGGAAGAATTGTTAATTTACTGATACCTGTTGAAATCACTTAATTACTACTTTTATCATTCATCCTTTTTTTCCCCCCTAACTTTACCTTTTGCTCACATGTAAAAATGACATATATTCAGTTGCTCTTCTTGGCCTTTGAAATGTATGAACTGTATGTAAAAATGTAAAGATTTTGATTTTCCCATTTAAAAAATTAATGTGTATGGTCTTTAATTTCTTGTATTTTAATCACCAAGTCAGTGTTCTAAAGTTGTAGGATTACTGTAAAAATCATATTCCAATATTCCATCTAAACTTAAATGTGGCCAGCATTGTTAGTTTCAAGTTGCCAAAATAATACAGAACATCCTTAATGTGGTCTGTAAAAGACTTTTAACCAGTGTGCAATGATGAAACGATAGTTTCACATCTCAAGTTTGGAATGAAAAATTAGTATCAGTTGAACACTTAGGTGTTGCATGTCTACTATTTAATCTCTATGTGAACTCTAAAGATTTTTTTTAATAATCATTTTTTTTCTCCCATTTAAAGTGGGTTCTAAGAAGCACAAGCAGAGATATATACCTGTAGAAAACATTTTTTGGCTGTAATGGTGCACTGGATAGCATATGCTTTTTGAGTAAGATGTTAGAAATTTACTAGATGTATGATGTTACATTAGAATAAGATTCTTTTCTCATTTTGTTCTTGCTAAAAGAAAAAAAGAAAGCTAAGTATAATAGTAACTGTCTTTGATTATGTCCTGGCAGGTGTTTAAGCTCAAAGTAAATAAAAAGTAGATACAATAAGATGATGATGATGGTACTGAATAAACAATCAAATGCTAGTTTTATTTGAAATTAATAACTAGAATATGTCATAATTTTTCAACTCTGTAGCACAGCTGGTTACATTGAATATTTTACTCTATTATGTTGTTAATTATATAGTAATGTATCAAAAGAGAAATAGATAAGAGCTCTTTTCTTTCCTTGTTGATTTTTAAAATGCCTTTTTACACATAAATGATTGAATGTTCTTTTTGAGAATGACCACATAATTATTGGTTAGAAGATACCAATTGTTTTTTTTTAAAATAGTCTACTTATAATCAGAATCAAATATCATTTGCTTCTAAATGTTAATGAAAAAAATTGAAGATGGTAAAATATTCAGGCTGGATTATATTAACAGCAGACGTTTCAGTGGTCAACATATTTGTAAATCTTTAGGCTACCGTGCTTTTCAATTATTTAAAAGTATATAAATGTCATTAGTAGTAGTCAGATAATACAAATTAGACTCAGTCATTTGTTAGTAGATGTTTATTAAAATCTCTTAGTTCAGGCAGATCAGAAACAGCTGTATAGTGTATCTTGTTCTGTACTAGGCATTGGAGTAATAAAATTCCCTGCCTCAGCATTAGTTCAAGGACGAATTAGTATTTCTGTATTTTTTCCCCATTTAAAACACTATGTGCATTTGGTTTGTGTACATGTTTTTGTAGTGTAAGATATAAAATTTTATATTTTTTCAGAAAATAAAAAATCCTTTGAATACAGTTAAATGCAATTGTCATGCTTGACCTTTCTCCAAATATACAACCTTTGTAAAATGATTTTCACTAGTTCTAAGAAAAATGTTTGAATTTCCTATGCTAAATATATAAAACTCAATAAGTATTCATTTTTCTCATCAACATATATGTGAACTTTTGCATCTGAATAATTTTGGTAGCTACAACTTGATACTGAGATTGTAGGACATGAATATCATGTGAAACATAATTCATGGTTGATTTGTGACAATGTAATGCAGCATCACTCAGGATATGAAAAAGAAAAAACTTGTGTGTACCATCTACATTAAGAAATTTTTTTTTTACGTCACTAAGAATCTTCTTATAGAATAAGGTGATAGAGTTGCATTATTATAGGAAATGGTGTCATTAAGTTCAAAAGCTCTTTCTTCATCTGTTATTGAATGCATTGTAACATATTGGTCTCATTTTGTAAAGAGATAGCAAACAATTTTATGTATTCATCGGTATATATTTGTATTTTTTTGCTTTTACATTCATAAAAAAATGATTTCACCATAATATGGAAATAATACATTCCTCTCACCTATGCATAAAGTCACCCTTCCTTGGGATATCAGTCATTGTTTCAGTAAATACACTCATATAAGGATTTTTTTTAGTTATTTTTTACCTAGTATAGTACAGCTATTGTTTTGCCGCAGTGGTAATGATTTGATGATAAAAGGGATTTTTCTTCATCCTTTTAGGCACTCCAAAAAAGATAGGATGGAATGAATGGCGGGGACAAAACATGGTATTTGATATGATTGCTTTATTCTGTACTAGGATTTTTCACTGTTATCTTTGAAATAAATATTTTTGTCTCTACTGATGTAAAAACCATGTCTCAAAGTCTAAGCCCAAGTCTTGACTTCTCTTCAAAAACATAATGAAACCCCTATTTATTTGTGAACAAATGCATGAACTTGC